AATAAAGGTTTTTTCTTTGTAATAGTATATAATCATTCATTAATAACCAACCAACAATCACAGCCCTTATTCTTCCTATCAGAAATTATCTAATACCAAAATCTATTAATATTTTTATAAATAGTGTATATATAATCACAAAAAATTATACAATACTATAACACTTGTAATTCACTTTATTAACTAATATGCAACAAAATATTTAAAGAAATATAAGAGTCGAATTATATAATATTCATTGCACTATTAAAAAATAAAAAAATCCAGATGTCACTGAAACCTCTCAATATACAAACAAATAATTTAAAAAAATATTTTTAATTTAAAAAAAAAGGGTAACATTAAATTAAATATTTTATCTGACTTCAATTGACCATTAAGTGGATATTTTATGAACAATTACAAGTGCTCTCCTCAATTCACCAAACAAGTGGAAATACAAATTTATATATTTTTTGTAGTTGAAAAAAAATCTATATACCGAAAATCGTAAGCAATAACAAATAAATGCAATGAGCTCAGTTTCTCACTTAGTGTCTTTAACCTAATTAATTATGTAACAATTAAAAAAGAACTTAAAAATATGGTAACATAATCTAATGGTAATTTTAGAAATAAAATATCACACTTTTCCCCCCTTCCCTCGTTTAAGTAATTTTGACAATTATCATATTAAAAAACCTTAAAAAAAATATAAGACCACTGTGATCACAGCATTTTAACAAGTATATAATTTACACAATTTTAAACTATTCCAAACATTCTATTTCAACCTACTGAAATGCATAACTGAATAATGTATCACAGAACTACTAAAGTTATGAAATAAACTTTTAATATAACAACAATTATATATCTGTGCACTTGTATGTGTATACACAAACACATATGTACACATAAACACAATGGCCTACATATAAATATAATTGACAAAGAACTAATATGATCAGAACATAATGATTAATGCAAAATCTATATCAACAATATAACTTCCTTGTGCCAATTTATTGGTTTCTTATATTTATCTTTGCTCTAAAAAATAAATAAACTCTGTTTATTTACAAATTATGAGTAAGTTTCAATAAATTTTCAGATCTTTAAAACGACAATTAACTTAAAACTATATAAAATAAAAATATTGAATTATTATGACATGTAGATATTAATAATCTTATGCTATTACTTGGATGACACTAACTACGACAGAAAGACATAGACAAAACAACTTTCATTACATATTAACAAGCATATAAATAATAAACAGAATACTACAGAAATTAAAAATTTCTGAAAAAAATTGTATTCAAACTTATACTTTAAAATAGACTAAATTATATTAAAATCAAACTACTTGCTTTAAGTTTCAGTCTAACATAATCAATCCACTAACGCAAAAACAAATGTTAATAAAATAAACTTTTAATAAAAAACATAGTAACTAATATATAGAAAAATAAGTTAGTATAATTTTAGAGTATAACAATATAAAATAAATTTTAAAAACAAAACAATAACCGCATTAATAACATTCCTAACATGTAAGGATGGTTATATTTTTTTCATTTCATCACAACAGAGAACTACACATAAGCAAGGTACAAACTGCTTTAATAAACTATTATATAAAAACATTTATGATGAGAATAAAGCTGTTCTAATTTACCTCTGAGCCATAATTAATACATATTTTAATAAAAAAATATATAAATTTAAAGGTTAAAAATACAATGAACAGGTACTACAAAGAGCTAACACTTTGTGGCTCTTTCTGTTAATTTCAATTTGCCTATAATTATTGACATAAAAAAATTAATTAATACAATACATTAGAAAAGTGATTAATTCACTCTATTCACATAGCCATTTTTCTAAAATATGTGTTACAATTTTTAACATCAAATAACACCAAATTTCAAGATGGACATAATGGAAAAACAAAACCAAATTTAGAAGTACATAAAGATTATATGCTCCTTTTTTCAATTAATCTTGTATTTTATATGAATCTTTGATCATGCACAGGGTGATGAAAATGAATTAAATGTGTTAGTGACTGTATAATGTAACTGAGAAGTGAGTAGCAATGAGACAGAGTGGATACATTTATTTACAATTTTGGGTTTTTCGATTCACAGTATACATCATAGGACAAGCAGTTTTGAAATATGTCGTGTACAGCAAGTACAAAATAATCAATTTCATATCTGCTAAAAAAACAAAATATATACAGTGAAACTTCTCTAAGCGGATAAACGTTTAAACCCTATACTATTATAAATGAAAAAGAATATCTGAATAATGGACACTCTCAACAGACGTGGACTGCTTGACACATGGAATGAAAAGTTTTTTAACAGCAAACAGCAGAAAGCCAATTCAGCTCATTTTATTATGGGAATCTTTATCTTATTATTATTGTTAAGTTCAATACTGGGAATTTAGTCGGGTAGTAGTAGACTTTTGGTTAATAGTAGAGGTTAAACGATAGAATCTGTGGCTAATTGTTTTGAAAAGTAGGGGTTTTTATTTATTTTATTTTTTTCAGAGGAAAGAGTCATAAGCACAGCCTTCAATAGCGAAAGTGAAGTTAGTAGATTATTGAACTTTTATAACTCAACAAATAATGATCTAACAAACAAATACATAAAAATTGATACAGGTTGTATAATCAAGGATGATTCTGTAATTATTACTGGAGCAATTGAGGAATATAACATGATATCCGATGAAAATTGGGACAATTTAGAAACATAAGATCTGTTAGGTAACAAAATCATAATGAAGATGGAATAAGGCCTAACATGAATCAGTGGGCAGACTTTTTTATTATTTCCAACGTATACACTGAAGGAGGCATAATCCTATTATTTCTTAAAACTTACTTAACTATTATGATAAGTAATTTGAACTTTTAATTTTGTGATTTGGATACAAGTTTACGTTTCATAGGTGTACTTCCATCATTAATTACTTATTAAATTTTTATCAAAAATATATTATGTTAAGCAAAAATATGTTTAAATTTTAAATGTATAAACATTTTTTTTAATGAATAAGCAATTTTATTGATATGGTTAATAAAATGGAATTTTATTCTGCTAATTTTTATTCACTTAAAATTTTTCATTCCATTTTTTCGATAAAATACATTTCACTATAACAGAAAAAATTTGAGAAGCTTAACTGTACACATTTGAGAAGCATTAACTTTTTTATAGCCTAGCAGTCTCTGTTTAACTTATGAATGTGGAAATATTGTTACATACATTTTCTTTGATGGTTCAGCCATCACAAATCATTCTCAGATCTGAACTGAAATTATACTTCTTTTGAAAAAAAAAAAAACAATTATAAATCAAATGAAAATAAAAATTGTTTTTACAAAACGTGCAAAATTTAAAACCATACTTGAAATGTCCTTTTAATAGTGGATACATCAAATATAATGTATTTGAAAATGTTTAAACATTCTTAATTTAAACTTGGATACCTAAGTACAAAATAAAAAGATATAAAAGCAAATAAACACATAATTGCTTATCTTAAGCAATAAAATACCACAGATCTCAAAATTCATCAAAGATATTTCCTATTAAACCTAAATCAAAATAATTTATTTATAATCAGGGTATAATGAAGAGTAGCTTATAAAATGAAGAGTAGCCATTATATCACAATTACAAAACGCACATTGAGTCAAGATGTAATTAATGTTCCATTGTTGTCAGAACAGGTAGAACAATTCTGCCTACATTCTCATCAATCAAAGCATGTTAGTGAAAGTAATTAATTTAATTTTTTATCTTGTATGAAATTTCATATTTAGCAAAAGTTTTACTCCTTTTGAAGCAGCAATGTGTAGTATAAAGTAAGCTGTATAGGTATCTGTTTAAACCTTGGGCCAAAAGTAGCTAACTAGAGTGGGAAAGTCAAAAGATTCATTCCTCAGGACTATCAATAAATAAATCTTAACTGAACCAAGTGTGACCCTTACCTCAACATATCCATCACAATCTCTGGTTTACGATATAACATCAAGTTATCAGAATAAACCAATTAATTGTAATAAATAAATTTGAAACTAAACATAAGTTAGAGTATTAATTATATATATGGCACTTATTCTGTTATAGGGTATGGGTAAGAAACAAAAAAAAAGAAATGGGTTCTCTTTCGCAATTAGGTTTTATAATTCTTTGCTCTTCTTCCAAACCAATCTTCATACCCTTGGCAACAAAACCGATCTCCTATGCCTCACTTGCAATTTTTAAGGACTATCTAAAAAGTCATGAAAGTCCTTATTGAGGAGGAATTTCTTTTATTAACAAGAGAAGATAACTTCTCACTATTCGAGGAATTCATGTACAGTTGAAAAGTAACACTGGAATCAGTCCTCTACAAAACTTGGGTTTCAAGAATAGGACTAGAACCAGGAAGACCACCAGAAGATGGAAGTCCCCATAGATAATTCAACACAATATGCAGATCAGGAGCATATGTAAGGCCCATTTTGCTTTTTAGTAAAAATAATTTATTTATTTTATTTTGATATTAAAGAACTATTTTTAGATAACTCTATTTAACTTTATTATAAAATTAAGATTTAGTGGATCTCGATTTCATTAATTGTTTGTTCATGATATATTTCTGGTAGTTTTCTTGAATATCTTTCTTATGAATCTCCTGAATATAGTATAAAACACGTAATTTGAAAAATATATATGTATAACTAAAACAAATTATAAAAAAAATAAAGTAACTCCTATTTTTTAAATTAAATTTAAAAAATAATTGATTACATCTGTATTTAAATTTGTACCACTTTTAAATAAACAATAGATTATTATTAAGAAAGGCTACATATTAAATAAACTAACCGCCAACATGAAACAAGTTCATTTTATCACCTAGTTACACAAATCAAATAATAATTACATACTATATTTATAATCCTTTCACTTCTAAAAAAAAATCTATTTAAGAGGACAAATAACTGTAGAATAACTTACACATCAGAAGGTTATAATTTTATCGAACAGAATGTGGAAATAAATAAAACCAATAAATTAAGGGGGGAAAGTATACTAAAAGAGATAAATAACAACTTGGATGTTAATTAAATATACTAAAAAAATATACCATACCAAAAAAAATTAAAGTATTGTTTATAAATAGAAATTAGAAAAATGGTAGTAACAGAATGAGCAATAGAATTTTTAATATTTTTCCAATACGAAATTCCAATGAAAAACAAATTAATCCGTCACCATTGAAATAAAATTACTTCAGGGAAAGAAAAAATCTTTATACAAGGTGTCTACCTCAACATTTTTTGATGGAATTCTGTGACTTTTCCAGGTTATTTTTGGAACAATTCCAAAAAGTTTCAATAGGGCATATATATATATATACATATATGTGTGTGTATATAACATCTTTTTGTCATGAAGTACCTAAAAATGTTAGGCACATTAAACATGTTTATCAACTGATATCTATTAAAAACTATTTTTCATAATTCGTACAATACTAAACATTCAACTAACTAACATACTAAACCATAAAAATGGAGGTATTATTAAAAAAAATATAGCAAAAATCAAATACCTTCTGAAATCAATAGAAACTCAAATTTTTATAGGTTATTACCTAAATCAGACCACTAAAAAAACTTTTTGAGCATAAAAAAACAAAAAAAATGCCTTTAATGGTATTCTTAAATGATTTTAAGAATATAAATTAAAGTAGACACCCTGTTGATAGGCCAGAACTAAATAGAATATTATCATGACTTAATTTCAAATAAAGAACACATTGCACAAACTAACAATAGAAGAATATTCAGTCATAAAAGTATCCAGAAATGAACACATGTAGACATTCACAACACTTTCTTTAATAAGAAATGTGTGAATTTTGAATTATTAAATAACTCTTGGATTAAAATATGTACTCAGAATATTTCTAATAAAATTAAAAGAATTGATAAAAAAAAAAAGCATTTTAAGAAAAATAAAACATAATGGAAATCTCTTTTGGTGAAAAGTACTTTTTTTTTTCATAATAATGCCTTGAGTATCTGGTGAAAAGAAGTACCCAAAAAGAACAATTAATATACTTTTAAAAATGCATCACACCATACACAACATGAAACACTAATATTAATCAAAGAGCAAAATATATTAATCGTGTGATGAGTGAGATAAGTTTAAGTCAGTCACTATTGAAGAGTGGTTTATAGTTTCTAATTTTAATATAAACACAATGCAAAATTGTTAATTTTGCACATAAAGTGTTATTTTTTTTTATTTTTTAGTGTTTCTACTAAAATAAATTAACTGATATGTCAACAAACTAAATTAATTTTTGATGATCAAATAACCTTGTTTGAAATTCTGTAGTAGCAGTTCTTTTGTTTAAGTTATTCGTCATTAACTCCATATAGTCTGTCACTACTGAATTTCTAATGAAGCATTAAATGTTGGCTTAGTCGAGTTCTCTTTAATTCTACATCTTTTATTTTTTGTGCAATCAGATATTGTGCAAAGGACACTGAATTTGCAGAACCTGTAATAGTCACAATTCTATTTCGAGTTCCAGGAGCATATATACCTTTCTTAGATATTTGAATAATAGCACCACTTGAATGTTGAATTTCAATTAAAGATCGCCCTCCATGACCAAGTATGGCACCAACTATTGCTTCAGCAATCTCCATTTCAACCTTAGTAGTAAAATAAAATTAATATTAATAATTTGACCTTGTTTGCTTTTAAAATAAATAGTTAACAGATCTTTTAAAAAGGGCAACAACATATATTAAATAAAAATTAAATCAATACTTAAAAATATCAATATATAATTTTATCATTAATTAAACAAGCTACCTAGTTAATAATACATAACAGTAGCCAGCATAATTTCCTCAAACTAAATAATTTAAACAACTCGATCTAATTTGATAAAATAGCTTTCTGATGTTGGTTAACCCTTTGACTATGGATGGGATCAACCAAGTGAGTTGGGTCACTGGTGAGGCCGGGATATATGCCTTCCCATCTGGACGGTTACCACTTAAACAAGTAGGAGCAAGTCCCGCCTTCACCATTTGACATGTGGCTAGGTTGTTGCATTCATTACTTCTCTGTAGCTGACTCAGTGCAGTCATTCCAGATTCTAACCACTTGGAAGCTTATCAGTTACAGATTTATTCTGAGCCCAAGGTACGTTCTTCCTTTGTTATTTGTGTCACATCCATGATTTTATTTATATTCTATTTAAAATGTATTATACATCAAATAAATATTAATAAGTTAATTTTATAATTTTTTTTTCTTTTAATTTTGGTTTTGACTGAATGCTGACGTGAATCTGAATTGGTACACGTGAATCTCTTACTACTTAACAAATAAATGTAAGTTTCATACATTTTATATATATATATATATATATATATATATATATATATATATATATATATAATGTAAAAATATACAGAAATAAAATAGTTTAGTTGTTTTGTCATTTTTCCATCCACCTAAAAACAATATATATATTTTATATAATATAGAAGTGTTTGAAACTCAAAATAAATGTAAGCGCAATAATAAAATTGCTATGATTCATTACGAAACTTTTTTAGGTAACAAAAAAATTTGTAAATGCAAAGAAATATAGAATTTGAATCCCACTGTCATTGTCCTTTTATTAGAAATAATATAATTTAATTTTTATGATAATTTTCAGTTATTTTGCTTTCCAGAAATGAGAAAATATGCAAGAAAGCGTAGTGTTGTGGGATTGCCGCTCTAATTTTGCATTGTCATATGCGGCCGGAAGGCACATATTCCGTTTTTTACTAGTTGAATAAAAACGTTAAAATGCATTTTTGAAAGCTAAGATCTTGCAAAAGGACTCAAAATAGCATTTTAAATAAATTTATGCAAAAAAAAAAATCCATTTTTTTTTTTTTTTGTCTTTGTGGATTTTAGGATAGAAGGTATGGAATAAACTCGTGAATGAGCTCCTGCTGTCAAAGGGTTAATTATATTTGGACAACAGGTATTACAATAATATTTTAATATCAAACTAACAATTAAAAATAAAATTTATAACTATAGTAACTATATATAGAAATTATACCTTTCTGGTATCTTTATTTTTATCAGAAGAATCATGATTACCAAGGCTGAAAGCACTGTTATTAAGATGAGGAGGAGAGTTTGGCCCTGAAGTTAAATGTCTAACTGGCTCTAAAGCCAAATCAATAACACTGCGAGCAGTACCACCAATCTGTCCAAAGAAACCATTAGAAGCACTTTCCAATGCTTGCATTCCTACATAAGTTGGAGTAGGTGAATTTCCTGTCCATGTGACTCCAAGCATTCTGTACCTGAATAATAAGAGGAGGGAAAGGAATCAATAAAAAATATTGATAATTTACACAATAAAAATAATAACTCAAATGGAACTGGTTAAAAAAATAACTTTTAATAATATCAACTTTGTTTTGTTTTTTCATAAAATTAGTGCCCAAGTATAAATTGTTTAAATATTTGTCAATCTAACAATAACAATTTAGAAATGGGATAAATCAGCTACCATATTTCTCCTCCAGGCATTAAAGGACCATATGCTTTTCACCCAGTCAACTCAAACTCAATGAAAAATTGTACAATTTTGTAAATACTTACTGTATTTAATTCAAATTAAATTATTTGTAAATGACAAAGAAATTTACAAAATTACAAGGAAACAGTACAGGCAGAAGGAGTTACAAGGACATATATGAAGTAGCAAGGTGTATCAACATTCTTAGTTTGACAGACAAAACTATGTACAATCATTTCCAAATGAAATGAATTGGAATTACTGATATTAAAAATTTGATAGTTCAATATTTTCCCATTGTGACACCACTTGATTTTTTATATTGACAATTAGATAATTCCAATGGCATTAACTTTAGTGATACTTAAACAATATACCATCTAATTTACCTTACAGAATACAAAAGTAGAAGTAGGAATTAGATAATATAAAAGTATACAAAAGTAGAAGTAGAAATTAGATAATATAAAGCTATCTTAGATAATCTGACCACAAGATAGCACTGAAATGCTAAAAAAAAAAGTAGTACTCATCAGCTACAAGTAGTAATTGAAGGTAGACCAATGAAGTACTGAAAAAAAAGTTTTAACTAACAAAGAGAATGGATGAGGAATTAATGATTTTAATGAAACTTCTTTTGTTGACATTATTTTTATATTATATCTCCAGTTTAATTTTGTTGGCTATTTGTCACTCGTGTATTTTGTATGGCCCTAAGTCTCTGCCAACTTTCACATAGATTGGTGAAGACTAGACTTATCACAATTTTAAAAAAAAAAATATAAGAAAAAAACTTTTATTTTTCGATTTCAATGAAAATTTATATTTAAAGGATTTGAAGGGGCCAAAAATCAATATCAACTTTTTTTTCTAGCTAAAATAATATTTTAACCCCCTTTGCTACAATGGTTGGTCCATGAATATTCGTAACTGTTGAAAAATAAAACTTTAATGGCTTAAAATTTTTGCATAAGTTTTTTTTATAAATCACTGACATTGTCATCACTTTAATAAAACTATCATTCCATATCAAGAGATTTAGGTTCCTAAAAACCACACAAATAACAAAAATCCAATCTTTGTAAACATATTAGAACCAGAGTTATAAAATAAAAACGTTGGAGGAGTTTTCATTTGTTCTTTATCAAACAATAAAATATGAAAGTTATTTATATGGAATGGAAGAGCAGTAATTCAGCTTTCGAACATTTGTAAAGTTGAATTTGGAGAAAATCCTGAGGAATCATGAATACTTTACTGAACAGCAGGAAAAGAAATCAAACCTTTTTTTTTTTAATCTGTATAATGTATACTAAAAAAAAATTGACTTGTTTTTTTACAACAAAAATTTACTTGGCCTACTTTACTGGAAGAGCTTAGATTTTTTATAAATTTGAACTCATTTGATAGTTAATACTTAATCTTTTAGCGATGATGAACAGGAAGGGAGGAGAGACATTGAGGATGGCACTAGCTGACAACTCTCTGTGCCCCAGTGACAGTATAGTTTTCATCACCTCTACTCATCACTTAAACTTTTTATTTAGAACATCCATATAAACTTCTTTATTTTGTTTTTTTATTTAACTTTTATACAATTGAAAATATATTTTTACATGACTTTCTAAACAAATTTTTTTATTAAATACGAGCTTTTAAACCTTTATTTTTTATATAATTGGACACTTGGACCTTCCTCTCTGAAACTTTTGTCAATGACCACACTTGACATCCATAAGTAACCACTGGAATTATGCAACTGTCAAAGACTTGTCTTTTGAGATCAATACTTATAATTATTTCCATTATGTGCTTGAGGGACCAAAATTTATTCCAGCCAAGTGCCATTCTCCTCTGGACTTCCTTTGCTCCTTTATCTGCAAAGGATACTAACTGGCCTCAGTAGATATACTCCTCAACATATTCCAATCTGTGGTTGTTTACTTTACATTCTTTTTTTTTGTCTTTAATTTAGTCTTCTGATAGTTGGGGTAGACAAATTTCTCCACACAGTTTTAAATGATGCTTGATCATTTCCGGCAGTTGTTGCATGTCTTTGGCAAAAAGCACAATAACATCTGCAAAACGTATGTTGCTGAACCATTTGCAATTTATCTTAATTCCTGTTTTCCCATAAAAGATGCCAGAATACCACCTCAAACACAAGGATAAACAAAAGTGAGGATAACGGGTCCTCTTGACAAACACCCTTTTCCGCCCTACACCTTTGACTTTTTTTCTGTTAAGGTATATGTCGGCATTTCCTTGTAAAGTTCTCTAATTATTGTAACATATTTTTCCTCTATTCCTATTGTTCTCAGTGCCTTAAATATTCCTGCATGTAGAATGCTATCGAATGCCTTCTTGAAGTCAAGGAAGCTAAGGTATAGAGAGAAGTTGTATTCATCTGCTTTCTCAATAATCTGATTTACAGCCTGGATGTGGTCCATTGTTGAAAATCCTTTTCTAAATCCTGCTTGTTCTTCGCCAACACATTCCATAATTCTTTTTGTGAGTCTTTGCTTGATGACACTGGAGAAAATTTTTGCCATGGTTGAACAAAGGGAGATAGGCCGCTAATTTTCTATATCATGCTTATTACCCTGTTTAACAGAATTATTTTTGCTGTTTTCCATTTGTTAGGAATTTCTTCTTGCTCAATAACCAAATTAAAAAGTTCTGTTAATTCCCTAGTTAAAGCATTCCCTCATGCTTTTAAAATTTCATTGGTGATATTATTTGGTCTCCTTTTCTTGTAACTTTCAATAAAAAACTCTGCTCTTAGCACCCTATGATCAGTATTGAAATTAAAACTGTTAATGACCTCTAAATTTTTAACCAAACTGATTTGGTTTGTGAGAAAATAATCGAGTTCAAAATTGTGCCCTTTTATGGTGAACACCATGTCCATTTTTCCTTTACCCTTTTTTAAAAAAAAATAATTACCAATTAGTTACCGTTGACTAAACCCAAATACTAAAACCACACCAGTTTATATACTAATGTGTGATAATTTTGTACGTGTAAATAAAAAATATTTTGTTCATAATAAACTCGTTTGATGGTTGAATATTATGATGTCAATAATTGGTTCTTTCTCCTGTTGAAAATTGGTTTTTGCATTTCAATAATTGGTGAAAAATTTGTCATCAATTGTGGGCACAAAAATTGAAATTGAAAACTTTAGGAGTATTATTTTGGCCTATATATAAGTGAAAGCTACAGAAAAGACTTGGACTGGTACGAAAAACTTTAGTTAATTTACCAACATTAATTTTAATTTAAAACAGGTTAATTAATAAAAAAAGTATTGGTAAATTACTTGAAAATTTTTTTAGGATTTGTTTTAAATTCGCTTTAATCTACTGCCTCCTGGAAAGGCCTCGAGATAGTTTGAAAATAGAATTCATCAGTGAGCACCCCGTCATTAAAAGAGAAAGAGCCCACAGGCTCTTGACTCGTAGGAGTACACCGTCGCATGGGCCAGATTCTGCCTTGACTCTTAAATGAGAAATAATCAATTTGTATACAATAACAACAATACGAAAAATTGTTAAAATAATATACAAACATTTTTTTTAAGCTCCCACGACTCATTTGAAAGAACCCTCAACCCTCAGATATGTGTCTAAAATATTTTTACTTGGAACACCAAAACAAAGGTTTATAATAAACTAAAGTAGTAAATTTAAATTTTATTTTTCATTAAAATATTTATTGTTTCATAAACATTTATCAGCAAAGCAGACATTTTTTAAAGCTAAAATTGGTGATAGATAAAAAACCCACAATTACCGAGAAATTAATATGCATATAAGTATTAATAATCAGTAGCTCTAAATACAGATAATAAACAACCTTCTCCTAGGGCTACTGTGTGAAGGAAAATAATTAAAGAAAAAATTGGATATAAATGTCCTAAAAACAAGAAACTTGGACTCATTATGAGGTAACACTTCTACCATTCAATTCTATTTAACATCCCTCGTATAAATCCTCCATTGCCAAATTAGAACAACAATACTATAATTACATAATTTTTTGGAAATATCCAATAAATAACAATGAAAAATTAAAAATATATCATTAAAATAAAATAATTAAGTTTATTTACTTTCCCAAAGTAGCTATTGCATTAGATATTTCAGCTTTCACATTTTCTGTATAACCTGTGTTATTCAATGCAACAGTAATGGCACTAATGACTTGAGATACAACAGCTTGACTTGGTGTATTGTTCGGTTCTAAATTCAATGTCAATGTAATGCCATTCAATCCTGCAGAATCATTTAACCCAGCCCCTAAAAAAAAAAAAAAAATAAATAAATAAATGATGTAAAAATAAGAGCATATAAAAAAAATTATTATCATAATTATATTTATTAGGACCAATGAGATCTTAGAAACAGGTTAAGATAGTGCAAAATACTTGAAGATTAGAATTTCTTCTAACAATTAATCATTAACCCAAGTCCAGTCATTTGGTAGTTTGGACAAGAAAAAATTACTGAAGAATTTTTCTCAATCAATCTATATGTTTTTTGGGGTGCTGAATCTGAAAATCCAGTTGTCAACTAGATACAGATATGACTTCACCATAAAAATGACAAAAAAACATAAAAATTTTGAATGTTGTTTCAGTTTTTTAGCTAATAACTCCGTAACAATGCATCCTAGAAAAAAATCACTTGCATCAAATAGAAAGAATTTTGTAAAAAATAAAGGTAGAATCAGCTATATATACATAAACACACACACACACACACACACATATATATATATATATATATATATATATATATATATATATATATACATATATATATATACAGGAACAGAGGATTTTTGTTTTGGGTGTCAGTTGTTGTTTGACTGGGGTCACTAGTTGTTAAAAATTACGAGAGTGGATCTCTCAGAGCTTGAGTTGAGTAGATGAAAGTATCACCATTTTGGACACTTTTTTAGTGGAAGATGTGTTTGGCAGAACTTTGAAGACAAATGAATTCTGTGCCACAAAGGAAGAAATAGTGTACCTAGTTCTGCCACAACTACTGTTACAAAAGTTGAACTTCGTTTACATCCTTGGGTATTATTTAGATAATCCTTACCTCTATCAGGTTATTTTCTTTACATATCAGGATAATAATCAATTAGTTTGTATTTTTCTTTTGCTCAGTTAACATGGAGTGGGGTAATAAAAAAAAAAAAAACCGAATAGCTGTGATTGCCTAAATATATATATAATATGTTTTTTTATAACTCGACCTTATAATTATACTCGATATTATAACTTAAGATAAGAATTATAGTCAGATAATAGGTCATGAAATACACTTATATGACTTAAAACAACTTCTATCGATTCCTTTTATTCAAAAACGATCCCTGTTTTTTAACATAAATAATGGGATCCTCTTCAGTTCTAGAAAAACAATACCTATCATTGGTATAACAATCAAAAGTTTTCATACATTTCAACAATACCGAATCTTTCTTACTTTTAATTTAATCAGCATAACATATAAATATAGAAATAGCCTTAAAAGGACCCTTTTCTCCAAACTAAAAGATAAGACTAGCCGTGGCAAATAATCAAATGTAATTTATAAAATAAAATGCTCCGATTGTGGTGGGAAGTATATTGGGTAAACATCCCAGTACTTAAATAGGAGACTTTATGCTCACAAATACAGCGTAGACAATAAGAAAGAAGAGACGGCTTTAGCCAGCTATGCTGTTAGAAAGGGACACATATTTGATTTTGATAAGGTGAAATTCCTAGATAACAAACATAATCAACAAAAAAGATAAGACCGGTAGGCACTAGACCTAGAGGAAGACCAAGTTGGGACAAGCGAGAGGAAAGAGACTGCAGGAGATGACAACTCTTGCAAGAGACAGAGCTAGATGAATATCCTGGGTTGGACTAACCAAACTCGACGCTGAAAGACGTAAAGAGAAAGTTAAAGAAGAACAAGAACAGTATAAATATAATTGGTACAGTATTGAGGTCCATTATTCTGTTATCAATAATGTTTTTTACGAAAATCTTCCCTCTAACTTGAGTAAAAATGAACAAGCCATTTTTGAAATAAAGATATATTTCATAGAAAATTTCATTCTTAGAAAATAAATTTACATAAGCTTAAGCAAAAGTAATGATTGGAATGTGATGAAATTGATGTGGGACCATCTATGTACCAGAGGTTCTCTTTGATTTTTCAAAAGCCTTTGATTCAATCAATCATAAGATCCTCCTTTTCAAGTTTTCAAACCTATCCATATCAAATAGCGACTTAGAGAGGTTCCATTCCTTCTTGTCTCATAGATCCCAAACAGGTATTCTAAATAAACCTTTCTCCACTCTTCTATTAACATGTGGTGTTCCTCAAAGTGTCTTCACTTTCATCAATCCTTGCCAATTCCATTTCCCACTTACAATACCACCCATATATCGATGACCTCCAAATTACCCACTCTTATCCTACTGAAATGCTTCACATGGGCAGTAAACAATGGTTTTGATCCTGAATATTGAGAATACCTAGGCCATCATCAGTTCCAGGTAACAGTTAAAACGGACGGGAAAAAAAGTTAATAACAACTCAATAAAACAGGGGAAAGAAATCAAAACAATTTTCTAGAAAATTTCTGAATATAACGAGATCAATGAAAAATAAATATAGTAGTAGTATATATAAAAACGAAAATGCAAATGATATAACTCTAATCACTATTGCTACAATTAGCCATTCATTAAATTGTTCTAAAAATGAAAAGATGAACAGTTAAAATTAGAATAAAAATTAATTAGCCAAATTTAACTACCTCATAATTTATGAAAATTGAAGGAAGATTAAAACAAATGACGGCTTTGCCTACTTTTGCAAAATTTACAGAGAGTTCCTGATTTAATCCCAATTTTTCCTAAATCCCCGAATAGCAGACATCCCTCGTTACGTTAATTTTGCTTCTTTTAAGTACTCCGGTTCTTTTGGATAAACTGGATAAACTCTGGATACTAACTTTCCTGCTTATCCCGTGATGGTTAAGATCTAACTAAGATAAGTGGGGTTCTACAGTACTTCAAACATGAATTAAAATGAAAATAAGTAAAAAAATTACATTACATGGAATTGAAGCTGCAATAGTAGAACTAGGAGCGAATTGTTGCTGGCTTGATGGTTGAGCGTAAGGGGATCCTGTAGGATTATAATTTGCAACAGGTCCAGTTATATCAGCATAACTTACATTTAAACTGCTCCCACTTTGAGGATCTTCTTGTACTTTAGTAAGTATCATGGCACATGCTTTCTTGTTGTTATTCACATCACCTATAGGTAAAAAAAAGAATATCTTATATATAAGTACAGATTTTTTTTTTCCAAATTATAATAATTAATAAATAATCCTTTCACATAAAATCATGTTAATAGTCATCTCAAAAACTAAAAAATAAACTAATAAGTATATTTTAAAGTAAAAATGAAGTTTTTAAAAATCTTCATAAAGAATTCATGCAATGACTTTTCCTTCCAGAACCTTGATTACTCAGGAGGAACATGTCTGGAGGCTGCAATGTTTTATGCAGAAACATTTATGAAATTAAAATAATTTGTTCTCACATTTTCTGAAAATGGTGAATGTGTGACGAATATGAAGAATACATGAGGCTAAACTAAACTTAAGCAGATTTAGTATTCATTCATTCAATCAAATCTATCATATTTGTCTTGGCCAATAGTAGAACTGGAAATAAAAAAATTTATACTGAGATTTCAAATTGGCATTGACGAAAAAGTTAAGAACAAAATAAAAAACATACACAACAAGAGTTGATTTTTTATAGACATAATTCGCAGAAAAATCCTGGGCATCTTGAGTAAGTGGGATAGATCAGTAAGTCATTGAGCTCCTATTGTCAAGGACCCAGGTTCAAGTTCAGCAAAGGCAGTTAATTAATCTGTTTCATCAACCATGGATCAATCTTGAGTATGGGAGAATCTTTTGAGGCACACCAAGCCTCTAAAAGTGAGTAGCCTTAATTGATTAAGGGGAAAAACCTGATGGTTGAGCATGACCATGGCCTAATTACCTCCCTGCACAACCGTTATTCTTGAAACAGTACTTCTTTTAATGGTAATTTTAAAATAATCAACACAGTCATAAATGGTGAAAATGTGAAATTTGAGTCAGCCCTTCCTTGACATTGAACAATAATAGCTACAAAAATTGTCCTATCAGGAGGATAAGTATTGAGTATTGATCATTTTCGCAACTAAAAAACATAAATAACAACAAGGGGCACTATTTACACAAAACAAATTTTAAATGCATCAAGTCTCAATTTAAATTTTTAAAAAATATTAAAATTAAATAAAAATCAAATTATATTAAAAACTACTTTATTAAATACTTAATAGTTGACCGTTGTATTATTAAAGAAGGAGATGGTCTGGGTCCGTCATAAATAGACTAAACAGTGGCAAAACCATTTTATTAAAAGCCAATGTTTCGACCCGACTTTGCAGGTCTTCCTTCAGGGAGGTGTGTTCAGCAAGGAGTTTGACTTAGAACTGTGTGTAGCAGTTCTAAAGAGTTTCACTTAGAACTGTGTGTAGCAGTTCTAAAGAGTTTCACTTAGAAGTGTGTGTAGCAGTTATAAGGAGTTTCACTTAGAACTGTGTGTAGCAGTTCTAAGTAGTTTCACTTAGAACTGTGTAGCAGTTCTAAGTGAAACTCCTTTTGGTTCTAAACATTCCACTGTCCAACAAGGCTTCCGAGTTGTTGACCATATATCCTCAGCCCAAGTAAGCAAGCAATATTGCTCGGGTGTATTTCTGGACATTGCGCAAGCAGTTGACCGGGTATGGCACACCGGATTGCTCTTCAAGCTTAAAACCTATCCACCTCAGTTCTTATATCTAGTACTCCGATCCTACCCCTCTGACTGCTCCTTTCAAATCCGCTGTGGAACTGAATTTTCCAATTGTTATTACATTGAGGCGGAAGTTCCTTAAGGGAGCATCTTGGGTCCTATCCTTTTTAACATTCTCTTTACCGCTGATATTCCTACTCATCCCAAAATCCTCCTGGCAAAATTCTCTGATGACACAGCCATCCTATCTTCCAATTCAGATATCAAAACAGCATCCTTTAACCTACAAAGTCATCTTTCTCTTATTGAACACAGGTGTAATAAGTGGCGCATCCAAGTAAATGAATCCAAATCCAAACATACCACCCTCAACCTTTGGCGCAAGTCCTGTCCACCAGTTTATTTTAACTCCATACCACTTCCCCTCTCCTACACAGTTCGGTGTCTGGGCTTCCTTCTAGAAAAATGAGTAACATATAACCCACCTACCAGAATTAAAAGACAACAGCTTAACCGACAATATGGCCAATTATATAGACTACTCAATAGAAAATCTCAACTTTCAGTTGAGAACAAACTATAAAATCTACAAGACAATCCTGAAACCTATCTGGACCTACGGACTCGAACTGTGGGGGACAGCAAAACTTTCTAACATCAAACGCACTCAATCCTTCCAGTCTAAAGTTCTTCGAACAATAGTCGATGTTTCCTTTTATATAACCAATAAAACCTAACATAATGACCTTAATATCCCTTATTTTTTTGTGTCCTTCCCTTCCTCGCCGTTAAGGCTATACGGGATTTTCCCGGACCAGGGAATGTGGGCGGGGATTAAAAGACTCCCTCGGCACCGGGACGCGAACTCGTGACTATTTTTATATCTTTGATTCATATGTCAGGTAGCCAGGCAACAGCGGTGCAGTGCACACACTTTAGCCCATTCGGCCACCCTGCCCACCAACTTAATATCCCATTTGTACTTGACCTAATTCCAGACAAATTTTCCAAATTTCACCAGAACCTCAATCATCGTCCAAATCCACAAATTACAAAAGTTGTGATGACTTCGACATGGCTGCACTTATCCATACAAAAATTGGCATGAATTTGGGACCCTATAAGTATACACAAAATGGCACAAATCAGATGCCCACAAATAAATTAGGCTTGAAGAGAAAAAATAAAAAAAAGGTTTTTATATAAAATGTTTTTTTGGCAATCATGTTTAATACAATACATACCATATCATGGAAAAACAATAAATAAAAGCTTTGCAACAGTTCATTGTAGTCATTTTTGTGAAAATGCGGATATTTTTAGGTGAATGGATAGAAAAATGCATTATTTCTTTACACTACTTGGGGTGAATCTCAAATTTTTTCAAACCTCAACTTAATTAATATGGACTTGAAGCTTAGTAAACGAGGAAGTTTTTGTAAAAGTGGGATAAATGTAGTACGGCTGAAGGGTGATGAAAACAAAATCACAAATAATTTATGAGTTTTTTTGAAACGCAACTTAGCTGTGTTTAGCTGCTCAAAAGTTCTTTTTAAATAGTTTTAACAATGACAAAATCTACTTTCCTTTAAAGTAAATTTTGTGTAGTTTACTATGGAGCAATATTGAATTACTTAAATCAAATATTTTTTAAGTTAAATCATGGAAAAACAATAAATACAAGTTTTCTGTGCAAGTGTTCTCCACTTACATATAGCATTGAGCTAAACTCAGCTTAACCTCAAAAGAGATCAGTGTAGTTTTGTTGAACTTTTACAATGATCTTTGATTTATCATATTATTGTACAAAATCCCATCATGAATTGAGGGAGGATGTTATAAACTTTTAATTCAGAGATAGCATGGCGTATGGCACCTACCCATGTATCAAGATAACTCAAAAGGTCTGAAGACAAGAAACACTTGCCAGTGATATGACAGCAATATCTTTTTTATTAAAGCAAAAGGAACATCCTTCACTAATTGTATCAACTTAAAAGAAGTTTGACAACTAAATAAAATTTTAAAAGGAGGGATACCAGTATTTAACAGTCTCAAACTTAAAACCTTTTAATAAGCCACATGATTAGAATTGAATATTAAGCAGCTTAGAAGTACACTCTAGTGGACAGCTGTAGATCACCTTCACAAATCAGCATGGGGCCTCTGAGTTCTCCCCAAATTAATGGCATTCTCTGGTCATCTACAATTCATTTCTTATTCTTAGAGGAATAGTTAAGCTGCTAAAGTTACATCTTTATTCATTTTCATGAAATGAAACATCTTTACAAAAAGAAAAAAAACAACTTTGTATAGTGAGGTAAAACTAAAATCATGGCAACATTACCACTAGTGGAAATAACAAAAATTAGATAATAATAGAAGAGAACAAGAGAAGAAGAACTAACGGGGGTGGGGGAATAGAAGATGGAGTGAAGGGAAGATCTAAGAAGCTTCAAAATTATATTACACAAGGAGAAATAAAAAGGAAGAAATAATTTTCTAAATCAGAAGAATGGATATTATCAGGAAGCAGCACAGAAGATGTACATAAATTTTCATTTAACTCATATGTCAGAAAAACATTTCTGATCATAATCCTAATGCTCTATGTTAATTATGCTCTGCTACGTTAAGTTCACTAAATTAAGCTCTTAGAACGAACCACGTGAGGGTGACAACTTAATACTAAAAATTAACAATAATAATTTTAATGAAACTAGCCAAGGTAGACAAAGAAATCAAGAGAGATGACTATATTTTATAATAACATGTTGATTAATTTTAAAGATGAAAGAATAATTGATGAAGGCTGTCATAAAAATTCTACCAATGGCCTTGATTTTTAGGACATTAAAATCTTCCAAGAGATATCAGTTTCTATATTCAGAAGAATGTTAAAGTTGACAGCTGCAAACAGTTGTAACTTTTAAGTATCAGATTCTTTAAACATTATGTTGCCAAAGCTAATATTTATCTTTTAATATGTAAACTGAGTTACTTTCACTTACTTACTTAAAATTTTAATTAATTTAAAATTAAAATAAACCATTTTATTACATGAATGTAATATTTCTTTGAATTCCAGATTCTGGTATATTTACATATCTGGTATATATTGGTCTTTAAATATTAAAGGATGTCAATTTTTGGTAATTGGCTGGATGGAATGGTAAATGGTAAATGGACAAAAGCTGACATTCTATCATTTTTAAAGGTGCCAATCACTTCTTTTATTTTTTTCTAAAGAGTATCTTACTACTGGCACCTTCATCCTAAGTAAAAAGTTTTGGTAAAAATAAAAAAGTTTTACAAAATCATTAGCCTGTGGATATCATATTAGAAAACTAACTTACAGGCTAGCAATTCACTTTCATTTAGATTCTAGAAGAAATATTCAGTAATGAAATTCAACGTTACAGATGAATGAATAAAAAAAAATGTATATATATTTTTTTTTTCAATCAATTTAAATTAATTATTTAAAGATATTTCAAATAAAACTAAAATAAAGCCTTTCTAAGATAAAATAAGTATTTCAATTTGATATCTGTTCTGAAGAAATTGAAAATTGAAAGAAAAGATAACGGACAGTGTGTATTTCGAGTTTAGGTCAACATTTAGTGAAACTAGATTTTTCAGATTAGTTTATCCACATCAGAAGTCTTCTTTTTAACCAAAAAGGCTCTGATTTTCATATTGTTTCACTTGAGAGAATTTGGAAATGTTAAAAGAAGAATAGTGAAAAGAAACAAGATATAACAAGCAAAATTTTACTAATAGACATTTTATAAAAACAATTAATAAATAAATAAACAATCACTCAATAGAATGAAAACTAGTCATATTTTTAACATAAAATAATTAAATTTAGTTGGCCAATAATGTAGATAGGTGGATTAGTAGTTTCACAAAATAGCAGGTGATATATATTTACATAAATATATTGTCATTTCAAATGAAGTTTAGGCTCAGTATACTGAACCGAGCCATGATTAATAAAAGAAAAGCAAAATATTACATACATTAAAATTTAATTTGGAAGTGCTGAAGTCTTTTTATTTCCCAAAACGTTAATTTAAATTTAGTTGTACCTAAGATTATAAGTCTTCTTCAAAGCAGCTTAGTCTTCTTTTTTTAATAGTCTTCCCAATTAACTTCAGGTTCATGCATGTAATCCAACCTTAGTTTCCTGTAAAGAAAATGCTTTTGAAATTTAAGCTCGAAATACTTCCTGTCCGTTTCTTTTCTGATACTGTTTTCTTGGAGTTAACTTTTATCAAAAGGAAGATCATCTACTCATATTCCTTTCATAAGTAACCATGTTGACTCGACTTGATAAAAAATAACTAACATGATTGGTCGCTATTATTTACTAAAATCACCAATGAAGAAAAAATTGTAGTTAATTTCTATATTTTAAGTATTATTAACTTTATTTGACAAAACTAATAAAAAAAAATAAAAAAAAATAAAAAAAACTCATAATAAACCTTCCTTAAATAAGTGTAATAAATAAATATGAAATAGTAAAACTTCATACCCATAACTGTAATACATCGTTCTTGTAAAGACTGATCTTTTGCTTTCTGTGATATCTGAACATAAGCTCCACTCTCATCTTTCAATTGTTTTATGTACTTTCCTCCTTTTCCTATAATCATTCCAGCAGTACTATTTGGAACTAATATTTTAACCTGTAATAATTAGTTTTGAGAGAATGGAGAAATATAAATGGAAGAAATAAAGGGAAAAAGAATAATTAAAATAAAGTTAGAAGTCAATGCGTTTGAGAACCATGTTAATATAACTAATATACTTGAGAGATAAACAAACCAAAGTGTAGGCCTGTTAACCCCTTAAGGCCACCAGAACCTCCTCTCACATTTGGTATCAACATAATTATGTCACCTAGTTTCAATGGTCAAAGAAGATAACACAACAAGCCAAGGGACCAATCCATTGTGTTGATGTTATTTTCAGGAGCTGAATACTGATACCAAACTGTTGAAAATTTTACTACATTGTTATCCACTTAGCCTTTATATAAACTCTAGTACACAGATACTAAAGTTGAAGCAAGATATTAAAGTTTAAAATGATGACTTCTCCAACTTTCAAAAACTTACTGTGAATTCCCACTTTTTCACAATCGCCAGAAATTCCAGCTGTAATCCTAAATTTCTGGACTGGTTGACATCCAACCCTACCATACTATGCTTATTTACAATACTAATTATTTTATTTGTCCTCTCTGTTTGTTTTATTTATACGTATATATGTATATTTTTTTTTCTCTTTTGTACATTATTTTTATTTACGAATGATAGGTAAATATTTTATTTTATGAAATGGCCATACTGTCATGATTTATTTATTTTGTATTTATAATTTGTTTTACAGTGTCATCAGTCCCAAGATGAGAAAATTACATTTCATTTTATTTACAATTTATGTACACAGACCAAAATCTAATATGTTATGTAAAATTAAAAAAAAAAAAACTTTTTCTGTCCAATTTAAACTTCCTTAGTATTTATAAGATTCATGACTTTTTATTTGTATATATTTGAACCAGCTCTTTTATTTACAGTCAGTTAAAAAAAAAAAAAGCTTATGCCTGAATAACTTGAAATATTGAAATAAGGTTTACTAAATAAAGGTTTGGTACTGTTTCTTTTTTTTTTTCAATAAAAAGTGCTCTTTTAATTTAAAGAAAAAGAGAAGATGAAAAGAACCAATCAACGAATCGTTCATAAGAATCAATTTATCACAATGATTGAATCGATGTAGCTAACAGAATCGAATTTCCCATCTCTAGTCTGCATCTATTCTAACACCAAGACTCTCAAGAAATGGTTTGTAGTGAGGTTTGACCTTACAGATTGGAAACCAATAGATCTGCAACCCACGCATCAGATCCAATAGCTTTCCACTGACTGCAAAAATGGAAAATGACTGCAGAAATGGCATCAAATGTGAAGGCAAGAATTATTTAGTTTACCCTCAAAGTGTGAATATAACCTATAACCTGTACCACTACAACCCATGATGGGTCTTGGATTCAGTACTATTTAGGGAAAGCAATATTTCTAGATCAACGGTTGTGCAAGGAGGTGATTTGACCGAGATCACGCTCAACAGCCAGGTTTTCCCCCTTAATTAATTATTTTAGTAAGGGTGCCCACTTTATAGAGGCTGGGTGTGCCGCAGGAGGGTCTCTCAACCCAGGGTCGCCCCACGGCCAATGAAACAGAAAAATACATTCTCTGCCATGATCCGGGGTTCGAACCTGGGACCCTTAGCATTGGAAGCTTAGTACCCTACCACTGAGCTACCCAACTCCCTCAAAGTGTGAATATTGATTTGCTAAATTGCTAAAGCAACACTCAGTATCAGAGACCCTTGGTGGTTTGCATAGATCTCCCGTAAACTCCACTATTCCCTTATTGTCCCTAAAATGCTGAGGTGAGAGCCCACCCCACAAACTTCCCTTCTACTATAAGGGACATATAGGGGAGATAGAGGACCCTTTATCATTCCCAAAACTCCCATTTACACTCACTACAACTTATATTTATCTGATAGAAAATGTAATTATTATTTTTGCTATTATTATACTTCTTAAATTATTATTTTTGTTATTATTATACTTCTACCTAAATAAAAATCTAGTGAAATGAAACTTCATGGTTCAAACTATTTTCTGACTGTTTAAGAGGTAGGTTAAAGGTTAAAAAAAAAAATGTATTGAGAAAAATTCTTTTTTTCCTCCCAACTTCATAGAATTAGTTTGATACTAGCCAAATAATTAAACATAACAAATAAGAAAAATATAAGAAAGTGCGACATCAGCTGCTTTTTCTTTTCTTAAACATTGGCAGAAAAAGGTGTTAAAATATCGATCAAACATCGAGTAAGTAAAGGAAGTAACTGGACTGTTCAAATACATAATAAAGTTATTATTATTATCATTTTTTTATATTATTGTTATTATAGATGAGTGATATTAAAAGAAAACGATTTCCTGCAGAGGAGTTACAGTTCTTCACATTCCTAGTTCTCAAAAAAGCATAAATTATTCAAAATAAAGACATAAATATTGTTTAAAAAAAAAAAAAAAAAAAAAAAAAAAAAAAAAAAAAAAAAAAAAAAAAAAAAAAAAAAAAAAAAGACCAAGTAACTGAAAGCTGCTGGTGGCAAAAAAAGTGCAAATTTGTTCATATCGGCATTGTGATGCTTACAGGCAGACCCCTTATCGATTTATCAACATCTATTTTGAGTAATGCGATCAACTCATTTATAAAGGTATTTTTGGAAAAGCGATACCTTTTTCTTGCAAATTCAATATCACAATATTTTTCTAATGGATTTTCTACATACCTTAAGTACGTTTTTGGTATATTTTCCAGATCTCTTTCTCCAAATAGTTTATAAATTCGATGAAATCATGATCATAAAAATAAAATTTAGCTATTATTTTACTGATTTCTGTTATATAATTAATCAGTTTCTATTAATTGCAATAGATAACATTCACACCCTATTTTAAATATTACTATTATTAAATTATTGTTATTAAATATTATTATTATTAAATATATATATATATATATATATATATATATATCTTTTTTTTGCTCAGAAATCTTATCAGTGCGCATAATATCCTTTATAATAACATTTTTAGTTGTATTTATTAGGATCTGTAATGAAGATTTCACTTTATTTTCAATCAGTATCAATAAGACTGGAAACTTTTTTTTTTTTTTCATTTCTTAACTAGAAAGGTATTCCATATAACTTTTTAAGTAAAAACTTTACAGCACTTTAAAAAATATATTTTATATTTTATATGACAATAAAGTGTTTCTCTCTATAATATATTGAGCATTATTTAATATGACTTTTCCTTATCTTTCCACTAACTGCATAATGTCATGTTCATAGAATGTCTAGAGTTTATTGTTAAAAAAAAAAAAATCATTCATAACTCTTCAGGATGTTCTCCAAATTCAATGTTACTATATCTGTTGGAAAGCAGAATTATTGCTCTTCAAAGCCGTGTGAATGGTTTTTTTTTAATTTAATACCTACATAAGGAATAAATAAACAAAAACTCCTTATAGATTTTTATTTTTTATCTCCATATGTAGTTTGTTTACGAAGGTCCTGTTGATGGCATTTTGTGTTGTTTATGTGGCCCTAAATTCCTGCTAAATTTCTTGTAGATAGCTAAAGTCGTATTGAAGTTATAACACTTTTTTGTGATTTTCGAAAAAAATCATGTGAGGGATCCAAACATTAAGCCTGAAAACATAACCGAGCTTGTACAAATGGTTTTCTACACTTGTGTGCGACAAATTTAGGGCCATAGCAATCTCTCGCACTGATTGGGCAGGATTTCGATCAACAATGGCCTTAACATTGCTCGTTTCAATTTCATGTGGGCGACCAGAACGTTGAGCATCATTGTTGTCAAAATTTCCTGAATGAAATTTGGCAAACCAATTTTGACAGATGGGTTCAGTTAAGGCGCCATACCCATGAACACTGCAATTTTTTTATCAGCTTCTGCAGCACGCTTACTTCCTTTCTATTTTAGCTATTATCATATAAATAGTACATATGAATAACAACAAATCAAAATATATGAGAACACAGATTCACTTGATAAGGATATTGCAGCAAACTTGATACTTTTCAAGAATTTTCTTGTTTTCAGAACTGACACTCTTTCTAAAACTTGTGAAGTGAGGAAATCTATTTCCTCCACACTAAATATTTAATGAGATATACATAGATAATAATAAAACAACAAGTTATTGCACAGTAACATCATTGTTACCTTCTACTATTGAATCGTTCGAGGAGAGTGGAGAAAACGTTCTCAGTAAAATTTTTCTGTTTTAGCTTTTAGCCTACCTTTTAAATATTCAGAAAATAGTTTGAAACAAGAAGTTTTATTTCATTAGATTTTATTTACGTAGAAGTATAATAATAATAAAAATAATAATTTTAGAAGTATAATAATAGCAAAAATAATAATTTTAGAAGTATAATAATAAAAAAATCTGGTGGGCCCAACACACAACTTTCACTTACTGATCTACTTTGAATGGAAATTATTTTCTGGCAATGTTGGGCTATTATAAAATTTTTTGAAGTGCATTTTAAACGGAGCTAAAGCTTACAGATAACAAGTAATTAAGACCATTATAATTACAAAATGTCTATTTAATATATCGACGACAGGCAATAAAAATCTAGTCACTCCATCTGCTTTTATAAACCACACAACTTTCTTTGCCTTTAAAAACCACAGAATGACTAACTCCAATTTCAACATTTTTGAGTGATGTCATTTTAGTGATATTTTTATTTTAGTTGAAAAAGTTATCCATGCAGACAATGAGTAAGTTGATTCCGGAGGAGGTGATTGCAGCGTTGAAATATAGAACTGAGAATAAAGGTATAAATTTAGGTACTTTTTCTTATGAAAGATGTTCTTAGGAAAGATATTTTATTAAATATCTGTAGAAAAAAGGTTTTTTTAGTGTCAACAATTAAAAAAGTATATTTTGAATTTATCCAAATTTTTGCCTCTACAGAGAAAAAAACTAGAGGCCATATCTTTCCTCCTAATTATCCGATTTTAACGATTTTTTTTTTGTTTTTTTAGGAAATTTCCATAAACTTTTAAAAAAACATATACAATATCAACAAAAAAGCGTATACTTTTTGAGTTATTAAGACTTTAATTTTACCTTCCTCATAACTTTTTTCCCAGCTTCTTTTCGTTGAAGCATGTTATATAGATAAATTTAAAGAGTGTCGAGAAAATGACTTTAGCGAAGTTTCATTGAAATCGATACATTCGTTTAGGCGCTACAGTCTATAGCAACGCAGGTTTTTCTGCAATTTTGTTTTTTTTCTCCTTTATTAACTTATCAAATTCTTTCAAAAGTTATATGTAGCATTTTTTTATAACTCTGAATAATGCGAAATGATTAACTTTTTAAAATAAACCATATTAAATGTACTTTAGAGGAAGACATATATGAATATTGGGCATTTAAGCCCTGTAAAATTAAATCAACGGGGATAAGACTTAAATGATATTAAAGACCACTTAATTATACAATGATACACCGAGTTTAATCAAAATCATTAGAGCCGTTTTTGAGAAAATTGTAAAAATGTGTTTCAGCGTTCATATAAAGTGGCACTTCCGGTTAGCCGATTTTAACAAAAAAGTTGCTGTCACATCTGGCCCATATACAAACCTTAAATACTCAATATCAGTTTTGTACTACTTTTCGTTTATGAGCTAGACTGTTAATTCACACACACAAACCATTTTGTGACACTTGGTTATTTGGACTCAGGGAACCTCAAAATAACTGATATTCCGTTGAAAACTGATATTCGAAAATTTTCACGATCGCAATACTAACCCTTACTATATATTACATATATACGTAAGAGAAAGTAAAAATAATAATGGAAGGAGATGGTCCGGATGGCGTTCATAAATAGGCTGAATAGTGGCAAAACTATTTTATTAAAAGCCCTTTTATTTGGCTTTTAATAAAACAGTTTTGCCCCTATTCAGCCTATTTATGACCGCCATCCCGGACTATCTCCTTCCTTTATAATGCAACTTTCAACTATTATATATTCAACAAAAATAATAATAATAACACTTTATAATTATAAAGTTACGATAATTACATTTTCTACCAGTTATATATAAGTTGTAGTGAGCGTAAAGAGGAGTTTTGGGAATGACCGAAGGGCCTTCTCCCCTAAATGTCCTCTAGTAGTAGAAGGGAAGTTTTAGGAGTGGACTCTGACCTCAGCATTTTAGGGACGATAAAGGAATAGTGGAGTATGAGGAACGTCAACGCATACAACCACCTATCTTCAAGCATCACGAGACAGATTAATTCGACCATCAATTTAACTTCCTCGAGCTTTCCTTCCCTTAACCTATATTTTCCCCTCACTGCTTCACAGTAAGATTTTCATGATTATTAGGTGTCACACTGATATTTTTTTGTCATAGGTCATAATTGTTTGCAATACAAAAATATCAACAAAAAAATCACAAATTTAAATAAATTATAAGAAAAACAGGAGGAAATATACAAAATAAAGTAACTTTTAAAAATAATGCTATTAACAAGTTCTAAAAATTAAATTTTCATAATTACCTGCTTTTCACGTTCACCACCTTTTAGATCATGTTCAACCCCTGCTTTACAATTTAAATCTGGTTTTTCCCTTATTTTAAATGTAATGAAATCCAAAACTTCCATAATAGAATCTATGTTACCCGATATAAGACAAACTCTTTCAGATGTTCCTATGAAATCATAACAAAATATAAAATAAGTGACATTAATAAACGTCTCACATTTCAGATAATTAAAGTAGCTACTAGATCACACAAGAAAATAATATTAATTAGTGATAATAATGCTATATATATAAATCCAATAGTTTGTAATATAACCCAAGAAAAATAATTATAAGTGGTAATGAGGTAGTACACAAAGACAATGTATGCTATCTACTGATGTAGAAATAAATATTTAATGAGTATTACAACACATTCTAAAGCCTTGTTCCCACAGCCTGTGGCATAGTTGGATGGAAACAATGAATAAAAGTCGCAAAAAATAACTATCACTGACTGGTCACCCATGAATAATCATGAAAATCAGATGCACATAAAAGAACAACCCGTGAAAGGAAAACCGACAATGATTACAACCAAGGAAGAATTTTTTTTAAAATATGATAGAGGAAATGGAACTACATGATAGACTTGAAAATGCCTCTAGATAGCCAAAACATCAGGGTGAAAAAAAGGAATATAAATGAACAGAACTGCTAGTGAATACTAAAAAAAAGTTAATTAAAATCTAGATATAATAGATTGATATTAATGTTGTTTAAGATGCTTTATAATGAGGAATTCAGGGCTTAACAAGAAGCCGTAGACCCTAATCACATAACTGAGACAATAGCTTTAAAGACATCTCAGTCATGAAAAAGCGGTACTAGTTGTCAAGTTGTTATGCTTTACTAGGTAGTCCTTCAAATATTACTATCTATAAACCAGGAAAAGGTAAGATACAAAACGTCTAATATAGTTCCCACAGGTTTAAATATTCAGATTCCATCAAAATTAGCCTCCATTTTTTTCACATTTTGGGTAGGAAAAAAAAATGGTTCAAATTTTCCTGAACCCCAATGCTCAAAAACGAGAAATTTAAGAAGCAAGGCAGACACTTTTAGCCACTCTAGAAAGAGATGGTTAAAGAGTTAATGGATGGTCTCTATTATAACATGAGCCATAGTAAATTATTGTCAAATCACTGATGAAAACTGACTTCAATTTGGCTTCTCTACATTTAGCAAACAATACAGGATATTACTTTTAAAAAAAACATTAGATAGGAAACAAACAAAAAAATCACCTATTTCCTCTGACCACAAAGAAATAACCAACTTACAAATTTAACTTTTTTTTCTACAGTTTGCCTTATAGTCCTGGAGCCCGTGTAAAAAAGGTGTTTTATTTCATACTAATGTTTGACCATATGAATTGACCATGTCCAAAGCACTCAAAAGAAAAATGCACGTCTGTCATCATATAGCCGCTGAAATAGAAAATGGCTGCCAGGTGAATAATCGATCAGATGGCTTAGCTAATGCCTAGAAGTAGGTAGGCAAGTACTTTACTACACCCTATGTTCTCATTATGGAAATTTAAGTTTATATTCAAAGATAATTATACGTAGCAAAATATCCTAGGATTTTATGATTCATTTATGTGCACCCTTCCATTTTTACATAAGATTTTATTTCCTTTCCCACAGTAAATTCGAATTATTGAAGAATTGACAGTTCATCTCACTGCCTCAAACCTTTAAATAAAGATAAAAATATGCAATAGATTCAATTGCTTCGTTAAATATATATACTACGAATTTTCAAATATATACTACGAAAAAAAAAAAAAAACTAATATATAAATTAGTATTTTATATATATTATATATATATATATATATATATATATATATATATATATATAGTATTTTATTGTTCATTTTACAATAATTATATTAATTATCACTCATAATTTTTATACATAATATAAACCCTACAGTCATTTTTTGGGGAGCCCCCACAACCAAAATCGAATGTCTGTGCCTGTGATTTATATCATACCCTAAAAATGAAACAAGAGGTTTATTATAAAGTATATGAAAAAAAGGCATAAGGCATCAGGAATTCACAACATTCCAGCAGAGCTGTTTAAGAACAGTAGGCATGAAATGATAAAGTTTCTGTAAGTCTGATGGATATATGGAGAGAAGAGAAACAACTTATTCTTAGATAAAGCATAGTCTGTCCTATACACAAGAAAGGTGACATATTAACATATAGAAGCTATAGGGATATATCTATCCTTACAAAATCTTGTCTCTTATCCTATTTAAAAGACTTCTTCCCAATGCAGATCTTGAATTACGGAAATATTAATGGGGATTTAGTAAGGGAAAGTCGACTATTGATCAGATGTTCACGATACGACTTCTAATGGAGAAAATAAGAGAGTTTCAGATGCAACGTAATCATCTGTTCATAGATTTTAAACAAACATACGAGTCCGTAAACAGAGAACAAGCATACAACGCAATGCTAGAATTAAATATCCCTCATAACCTGATTTGTTTAGTGAAAATGGCAATGGATGATAATAAATGCTATGTAAGGGAATCAGGAAAACTGTCAAGAGGTTTTATTTGGTGCTTCAAAACCATATAAGGAGAAGAATTTTGTCCAAATTCTCTAAAACACGGTTCTATAAGAAGCTAATCAGACATGGTCATATATAAGGCTCAGAAAGTTTGACAATGAATACAGCCCCACAACAAGCCCTTCAGAAAATATTTTGGTTTAATAGAGAGGCAATAGATAGCACAGGCAGTATAGGGCTTCAGTGGGAGTCTTGGTGCGACGAAAGGAAGAAAAAAAAAAATTAATAGAGAGGACTGGAATCATTGTTGGAGCAGGCTTTGATTGATCAAGTTGGTCGTGATACCAGATAAGAAGTATAAAGAATATGATGAATACTTTTGAATAAAATCTATTTGTTAAATATGTAACCAAAACTCTGTCAATTGTTGCATATTTTGTTTTGTTTTCATTTGAATCATTTGACATTTCTAAATCTAATGTTTATTTCAGAAAACGTTTGTAACAGTGGTCTGTAATTGGTCGAAACACTATTCTTATTATTACGACTAATTAAAAAATATATCTATATTGACTTCTGTGCAAATTTATTTATGAATTCTCCAGGGTATTTAAACGTTGAGATATTTCAAACCATCTTCTTCCCTTTCGACTCTTTAACTAGGCGTTACGTGAGATTTTTTATACCATCTTCCGTGAATAGCTAGTGAATTTATTGATGTCCTTTTTTGGGGTCCTTTTTTAGAGTCTATAATTGAATGTAATAAGTTTCATCTAGTAAAAATTGACACCATTTCGGTATTAAAAAAAGTGAGATTTTGAGTGCGTCTGCCGAGTGTATCAAGCGAACATTTGTTGGCAGAGGTGTATTTTTGATCCTTCTTGGATTCTATATTTGAATACTATAAGTTTCATAGAGTATGAAATGATACCATTTTTGTGGTCAAAAAAATAAGATTTTGAGTACTGTTTGCCGCACTGGTATTTGTTGGCAGATTAATAGTTTTAATATGTGGATGGGACCTAGTATTTATTATAACTTTTATATTTTGAATAACTTCAAATATAGCTAATTCTGCTTTACTTGTATTGCCTCACCAAACTTTTTAGTTAATAAGCGGGGTACATACAGCGGTTTGGCTCATAGTCAAGGCAACCTGTTTTTCTCTCAAAGGCTCCTGGAGAACCTCTGTCTAACAGATTGATACAAGACCATTGTTTTATTTGTTGGTACTATTCTCTGATTTTTGACAACCTCTGATAGAGAATATTCCTAACCCTCCTCGTGGCCAACGTCAGCTTGATTATCCAAGCTGTTACTCAATGTTACTCGGAGGTCTTACTTTATCTTACCCATACAATTCCCAAGGTGTTAATTCAATGTTAATTAAGGAGTCAATTCAGTTAGAATAAACAAAGGACTTTTAATCAAATCTGTTTCTTTGTACTAAATGAACTTAGATGCAACTTTTTTTCTAACCAGTACATTACCAATATGCAGAGATGGGCAAAATCGAAATCAATGATTACATGATAAAAGCTTTTTTAAATCTTCAATTTTGTACAGAATACAATAGCACTACACATATAGCAAAAATGTGACATGATTACCTGATTACAATACAATTGTAATCGAGTAGTAACCACATTATAAAAATCACTGTAATCATAATGACGTAATCAAAATGATAGTAATCTTAATCGTTGATTATGATTAAGCTTATCTATACCAACATGTAAAGTAGCTACTACTTTCTCAAAAAAAAAAAATATAGTCATCCACGTTCTCAAGAGTTTCATTATTCTTAATATGCAACAGAGTATAATGGAACATAGGATTTGTATGAATCAAAATGCAACTAACTTATTAATATTTTTATCACCAGTGACACTCAGAATTAATGATTATTATTCATTCTCTGCAAAAAAGTTTAATTGTCAGTCTGCATTGATTAACAATCCATTATCTATATTACATAGAAAGAGGTAAAACAAACTAGTTTTATATGATTAAATAAATATGAAAATTATTATAAGGGAAGGATTTACATTCTAAAAATTAACATTGATCATGCATAATAGAAAAAGAAAAAGGATAGAATCTCAAAATTAAAATTAATACCTGAATAAAAAAGATAAGATAAAGATTAACACAAGTATATAAATAAGATATAAGGTTAATACCTGGATAAAAATCATTCGCTTTAGACATTTTCACCCGAGCATTGGTATCCTTTTGTAATTGTGCTATTGTTTCTCCACCTTTCCCAATAATGGCACCAGCTGCTACACTAGGAACCAATATCTTAAAATGATATATCCCATCATTTCCTGAAACCAAATAAATGCAACATTAGAATAATCAAATAACATTAGAATAATATAATTTACATAAATATAAAATTATAACATGCAATATTCATAAATAATTTTTGGTAATACTTTACAATACAGTCCAACTGGCCCACAGCATAATTAAAACAGAAAATCGGTAACTAATTTTCAGTAACCAATTCAGCTCACCGCTATCAATGAAATATAGTACTTCTGTAGTACTGTCATTATTTAATCAGCCTTTTATCAGAGTGAAACTTTATTTTATTTATATTTTATTTAATCAAAGATTTGTATAAATAAATCATAAGCATAAATTTACATAACAAATTTGGTAAAGGAATCGAAATTTGTGGATTATCAAAACAGATGGACAAGTGCAATTTTAATTCATGTGTTTCTTTGAAATTTATTTTATGGCAGACCCACACAATGGATCTCTACCTCGCCCTGCCCAGAACTTCTTGGCAATATCGAACAGAAAGTGACCTCGAGTGTCATGATAGCTCTTGGAAGAACTCTTGAAAAGAACACGGAGGGAACATGAGAGAAGAACCAGTTAACTCTGGAAAAGGGAGGCAAGGTCCCGACGAAGACTGAGGACTCCTCGGATGCCTCAATAGTACATCTTTCGGACCACTCTACCCCTAAAGCGAGAGTAAACACTGAAACCGAAAGCAAAAGTACACACCAAGAGAAGCTTGAACTTCAAGTAGAACTCCCCAAGGTGAAATATCACTATACCAAAATATCACTATATCAAAATATCACAATATATAGATATAGAAATATCACAACTCATCTCTTGATGAGTTGGAAAATGATAAAAGGCACCTTGGCGAGACGAAAAGAAATAAAAAGAAAAAATTAAGTTCACCTCAGCACTACAAGAAAAGGGGAAGAGGGTTAAGAAAGTAGAACATCAGAAACTTACTTACTCAGGCATATTAAGGAGAATGGCAAATCTTCCCTCTCCAAAAGCACCAATGGAGAAGCCCCCACGTATGTCACAATAAGAGGTGAAAGAGGAAACTGGAACCCGAGAAACATTTGGGAGGATCTTCCAAACGAACAGGAACTGCAGGGTACACAGATTACCACTCAAGTAATATAGCCCTGGAGCCAGAGCCCAAAAATCGACCTGATCGCAGGCGAAGGTTTGTTTGATTGTAAAATACGAAAGTGTATATTATTCTGAGTAAAAAAAAACCTTGTCTGCCGTTCCAGAGCCGCTGCTTTCAAAAATGGCGGCTGATTTAAAGAATATTAGTACAGTAATTTGAGGATCGAAACGGGAAATCCATTGCGAAAAATGTGAGAAAAGTTTTTATTTTTTTAATTTGTATATATGGGTTTAGACAAGTAAAGAAAAAATTTCTAACGTGGGCCACCAATGGGAAAACTTTTTACAGGCAAAAAAGTCAGATTTTTTCGATATTTTTTGGGTTTTTCACCTATAACTCCTAAACAATGCATCAAAGCGAAAAATGTATACTTTAATAAATTAAAGAACGTTAAATTTTGCGTCAAATGAGTACATAACTCATATCAAAGCTCAACAACTTTGATTCTATGGGTTTTTCCTCTTAGGGAACTCATTTCCAAGTTACAGGGCCATTTATAGTAATTTGTCTCAGTTTTTGACAAATTTGGTAAAGTTCAGCGTTGGTTGACCGTGGTTTTATACCTTACCGCGTAACCAAATTATAAAGTTTATGTACTAGTTTGATGCAAAATTTAACGTTCTTTAATTTATTAAAGAATACATTTTTCGCTTTGATTCATTGTTTAGGAGTTATAGGTGAAAAACCCAAACAATATCGAAAAAATCTGACTCTTTTAGCTGTAAAAAGTTTTCCCTTGGTGGCCCGCGTTAGCAATTTTGTTTTTTACATGTCTAAACCCATATATACAAGTTAAATAAAAAATAAAAACTTTTCTCACATTTTTTGCAATGGATTTCCCGTTTCGATCCTCAAATTACTGGCCTAATATTCTTAAAATCAGCCGCCATTTTTTAAAGCAGCGGCTCTGGAACAGCAGACAAGGTTTTTTTTACTCAGAATAACATAAACTTTCGTAAATTACAATCAAAACTTCGCCTGCGATCAGGTCGATTTTTGGGCCCTGGCTCCAGGTAATAGGACTCACCAACAGGAACACCGCTGTCCTGGTGAAGACTAAGGGAGCAGAGCAAGCTAAGATGCTGATGGAGATGCAAGCCTAGAAGAACAAAGGACTAAAAGTTAATCTGGCAAGAACAAAAAGACCAAAGCTAGAAATCAATGGAGTACCCTAGGACTGGAAATCCCCTGATTTGTAGGACTTTCTCTGGGGAAAACTTGAAAGCAGCGGAATAAGTAGACCTCGAGAAGAGTGCAACAGGAAAGAATAGGTCAGACCATGTTTTTCTAATATTGAGAGAGGGTACCTAAAGAAAACCTGGGTAGTGGAGGTTCATTCGTCCGTGAGAACTGCAGTCTTGCAAATGGAAAAGTTTCCCTGTAGCTTCTGGACATTAAGCATTAAGGACTACTTGGATGCTCCCCTATGTCTGAAATGTAAGGAATATGCTATATGTAAGAAAGACCTTACATGCAGATGATGTGGCAGTTGTGGGCATAAGGCAAATGAGTGTCAGGTTAGGAAAAGTGGCTCCCCACCAAAGTACAAGAATTGCATGATGTCAGGGAAGGCGCTAGATGAAATACAGCATTGTGCTGGGAGCAGAGAGTGTCCCAAGCACTTGTCAAAGAAGTCAGAAATAGTAGAGAAGACACGCTACTCTTAGTGGCAGCTCTGGTTCTACGCTCCTGCTGAGGGAAGGTCCTGGTGGGTTTTGAGAGCCGCTGGACTAAAAAGAAAATATTACAGCACAGTCCCACCATGGAAGTGTGCACTAGACTGTGCCACAGGAAAACCCTAACAATTGTCTATTCTGTTTTTCATAATATCAAGGATTATCAATAATTTATTTTTATCAGCCCTTACTGGAGATATACACCACTCACAAAAGAACTAAAAAATGTACAACAAGATTGATTGCGTTCATTCTTTGGCTATCTCGCATAGTTCCCAAGAAATCCATGCTCATCACAAAGATATCAAGTATCGCTATTAAATTAAATATTAAAACTAATTATCATTTGCCTGCCCAACTTAAATAATCTCTAACCATTAAATCCTAGGTCTGCTTCTTATATAGAAAGTAATCAGTACATATAATAATAATAACTTTCCTCTGGGATGTGGATGATATTCCAGAAATCTGAGAAAGCTAAGCAAATAAATAATAATAATAAAGCATAGTGGTTACATGAATAATAATATCAACAAATGGTCTGATCCCAAAGTCAACGATGGCAGGTACTGACGGCTGGGAATTACCCCTTGTTGTGTTAAGAGAGGCAGTTCTCTTGGAGACAGCCAGAATCATGAGACAATTTTTAAGTATCTAAAAATAAACATATAACTTTAGGTGGTTGGACATGTCCTCTATCTTCAGCTTTGAATATGCAAAAGCGAGAATAATAAAGATTTAAATAATAATAATAATAATTCATAAAACACTGCAAGAATCGTACGGAGCTTTCTAAATAACCAATAGATTATTTAACTACGAAAATTGACATGAAGTGGTTAATTCTTGTGGAAGTTAATTCTTCCCCACTTCAGGAAAATACATTTTTTTAAAATGTTAAAAAATATATAATAATAATAAGGCTAAACGAACCTGATGGTTCAATCCACATTCTTTCATCCACTGGGCGCCCCAACCCAACCCTGCCAGATCAGCCTTAATGAAATCTGCCCACCTTCGCTTTAGTCTACCCCTCAGACGCTTGCCAGTCAGCACAGCGCATATTAACTTTTTAGGAATTCTTTTGTTTTTAAGTCCAGCGATTTTACATTACCATTTTATTAGCCTCAACCTAATCATCTCAATTATATTAACCGGACTCAGTTCACTCAATACAGCGTTGTGTAATTGCCTAAATTCACCAGTTGACTCTTCCTTCTTCAGTCCGAATATTCTGCGCAATACTTTATTTTCATAAACCTGAAGACGTTGCTCATTTCTTAATGTAAGCAGCCATGTTTCGCATCCATCAAAAACCATAGGAAGAATAATGGTTTTGTGAATTCTAATTTTTGAGTTTTGAGACAGGAGGCGCGAACGAACTAAGTAGTTGTGACAAAGAAAAATAACAAGCATTTCCTGCCTTCAATCTAACCTTAATATCCCCTTCAATTTCGTTTTTTCTAGTTATCCTAGATACCTACATACCTAAAACTCTGTATGTGTTCAAACACAGTTCCTTCTATATATCAACATCATCGAAATTGTCGCTGTTTTTACAGCTAACCATATATTTTGTCTTATCCATATATATTTCGAGTCTCAGTTCTTTACTGGCTTTCATCAACGTTATTGTATTTAGTTTTATTGTTTCCATGACTTAATTATTGTAACCGATTTCTTTAATATTATCACTGATTCTTACCCATAACTGATCTATATCTTCGCAGTCCTTGCCAGAAGGTTCTAAAGCTTCAAACCTATTCTTAACTTCAACCTCAAATTGAGTTCTAATTAATGGATATTTTAATTTTTTCAAATTAAAATTCTCGGAATTGGTTTTCTTTACAATTTTAATTATTAAGTTTTTGTCGAAGATTCGCGATTACTAATTCAGGATCTGATCCACATTCTGACCCGTGATAACACCTTACATTAATTACTATTTTGTCACTTATGTTGTATCAAGACATAATCGATTTGATTTTGTGTTTACGAATCAAGTGATATCCAAGTATATTTGTGGATATCCAAGTATATTTGTGAATATCCTTATGTTTAAACGTAGTACTTTTAATTATTAGGTTTTTCAAAAATTTATTAGTTGAATTCCATTATCATTAGTATGGTCGTGTAAACTTTCTTTACCGATCATCGAAAAATAAACTTCTTTCCTCCCCAACTTTGCATTAGTGTCCCCTAAAATTATTTTCATGCAGCTTCGCGGTAGTTTATCATAAACCCACTCCAGTTTATCATAAAATTCGCAATTGGCTTTATCATCAATGTCTTCGGTCGGATAGTGTATGTTTATCAACACAATTTTAAACCAACGCCACAGGAATATGGCCACCGAAATCGAATTGTACGTCCTTTAAAGCGGATAAACAACTATTTCCACTTCCTCTCTACTAAAAAGTGTACTTACCTTACCTTATGGATGGGTACTTATCCTCCCCTAGCCAACGAACCTCTAGTAATGCCACGATATCTAAATTTTACCCATTAACCTCTACTACTCATCAATCGGCATATATGCCGACGACGTCCAAATTTACCTTTCCTTCAACCCGACGGATTCCTCTAATGCCATCCTGAAACTGCAACAAGACATCAATAGAATATGCGGATGGAAAAATCTTAATAAACTCACATTAAATATGGAGAACACTAAAGCCATCCCGATCGCATCCCCCTCACTCCTAAAATCCATTTCAGTACCTCCCAATCTTCTCCCGAACAACTCACTTATCTCCTTCCATACTACCATTAAAAACCTTGGCATTATCCTCGATCGAACCCTCTCCTGGAAACCACACATATCCCAAATTTCCCGCCATACTATTTTTACCCTGAAACAGTGTTATCATCTACGTTACATTTTTCCATTCAAAACCCGTCAACTCCTGATTTCATCTCTTGTTTTCTCCAACTTCGACTACGGCTGAATGGTGTACTCTCGGGATAACTTGAAGCTAAACTTAAACATCTAATGAATTACTCAATCCTCTATATCTTCGGGATCTCAAGGGAAACGCATATTACCCAGTTTTACACAGAGTGAAGTGGCTTTATCTGTCCTACAATCGTCAGTATTTCCTTACTACCTTCCTGTACCAGGCTATTAGAATTCTGCGACCCTCCTATATTATACAGATCCTACAATTCAAATGCTTCTTTCAATCCCGTCCCACCAGATCCCATACGTCCGACCTCTATCCTCCTCACCGAACTACTGCGTTTGACAAATACTTTTTAATTCAAACTTTCTCCATCTGGAATTCAATCACCTCTGATATTCGACACGCAAAGTCAGTATCCTCTTTCAAATCTCTCCCCTTCAAACACTTACTCCATTCCCAATCCAGTTGATCATGAAATGCACTTAAAAATCTAAGTCGTAAGAATCTCCCTCAAGTCTGGAGGGACACTATCATTGTTGGCCAGTCAATCGGACTTAAAAGTATTTTAAAAAGTATTACTCAAGAATTATTATTATTGTTAATTGTAAAACTTTTGTTCAAAATTAATGAGCAGGACATGATTTTTATCATTTATGATCAAAAATAAAAATTGCTCTTAATTTAAAAATTCCAGAAAAAAATTTTGATCAGATTTGATTTTGATTTTTTTAATTATCGATTTCAAACCCTACTTTCAACATCAGAAGTTTACCAAGAATTTAATAAATAGAGATTAATTTGATGACAGAGATAACTCGCCAAGAAAATTGTTGAAAGTCACTGATAAAAAATGCGTTTTTTGCACAATTTGAAGTAGAGAACTTATTGCACATATCTTAATTATCTAAGTATTTTTTCAGTCATTATATTTCAATAATAATAAGGAATAAAACTCTAAAAGTAGTTCCAATGAACTTCCAGGATCCAAAATAGTATTTAATGATACCAACCAATTTACTTTTAAACTACAGATGTACCTAAAAATATGGTACATACTCTTTATTTAAGCATTATTTATACAAGTAGTAGATACTATTTATATTTAGATATGTAAATACTGTAACAATTAAAAGCTGATCAACACGAAAGTCATAAATACAAAATATTTCAGCAAAATCTCGGAATAAAATATAATTCAATTATAAAATTTTTAATTGCTCTACTTTTTGAATGGTCAATAAGATAGAAAAATAATAAATATTATTGAAGAAACTTTAATGCTCATCCACTTCCTTCCTCCTGACTTTTTCGTGGAACGGAAAGATAAAGAATTTGCTGGATAAACAATCATAAAAACGTGAGGAACCATTTCTTATTTTATAATGGTGTAGAGATGGTTGATCATAGTTACAATTTGAGAAGGTCGAGGGTGCTGTCAATATATAATACTATATCATAAAACAGTATTTTTTTATTGTATTTTCCAACGATTCGACCTACAATGTAGGTCAATGTCTCCCAACTGCTTCCAGCAGTGCCAGATGGAACGCCCTGAAGAAGAACTACAACATAGGTCAAAAAGTTGGAAAATACAATAAAAAATAATTAGTCTCCCAAATGGTTCCGGCAGTGCCAAATGGAATACCCTGAAGAAGTCTTATAATATAGGTCAAAACGCTGGAAAATACAATAAAAAAAGGTTATTAAATGATATAGTAATATATATTGACTGCACCCCCGAGCAACTTCTCCTCAAATTTTTTCTTATAAATCAGCGATTATTAAGCACAGATATCTCAGGAACTATGCAAGATGGCTAAAGAATGAATAAAAAGAATCATGCAATAAATTTTATCACCTTTAATTTTGTATAGAACTTCTTTATCGCTAATATGAAGGTTCCCTGATTTAAGCGACGAACCGAAAAAGTGGCTTTCTGAGTGACCCCTCCACCTTTGGCTCATCACCCACAAGTAGAGACTTTTAGTATGCTTACCTTCTTACTAGGCTAGGCGAATTCCTAAAGTCAAATTGTCTTCTTTCCATTTTCCTCTATAATCATTCATTGACTGGACTGTAGTACACAAAATTGTCATCCTTCATATTAATTTTCATAAATTTCTATTTATAATTATAGTAGTATTCTCAAGGTTTTTAAATTAAAAAAAAAAGTTACTTTGGATAGAAAAAATTTTACTTCACATATTTTATTATAAAACTGGACAAGAATCAAATGTAGCAACCTTTAACATGATTTAAAAAAATAAATAAGTTCTACTCACATCTGAAAGAAATGTCATGTTTAACATGCTGGAGTGAACTGGTAATAATATAAATTAAATAAATCTTAATTTTCATATTTTCCTATCACGTTAATCATTTTTAAAGTAATAAATTCTTTTCTTTAGATGAACAATGCATATGTAAATAGAGATAAAAAACTAAAATGTGTCTTCTTTTTTCTGTGTGCCATAACGTATTCTACTGACTACCTTTGGAAATAAAGTTGAAATATGAAAGGTACAAAATGAATCAAGGTAAATTAAGATTAAGAACTAACCACTTAGCTAATTCCGATAATTAGATAAAGATAATTATTGATTATAAATGGTTAATTTGTTTAATATTTTCTCAGGTAATCGGAATTATAGGTTAAAATAGTAGTATAGGAAAACATTCTATAGACTTAATATTTAACATATACTAAGAATTCAGCATTGTACATTCCATTCAACCTAGTTCGAACAGACCTATTATCTGCAATACTGACATTTAAATTTTTATGGCATGAAATTACTTATAAAAAAAAAATAAATAAATCCTCTATATTGCTAAGGAAACAGTTTCTCAATAAACAGTTTTAAGAATATAAGAAAAAAAAAACAGTAACTAAACAAATAACATGAATGGACTATTCACCACAAAAAATCAAAGATCAAATCATGATATATTTGACACATTGTATTTATAATTGTGTATTTATTATTATTACATAAGCGTTTCGAGACAATCATTGATTCTAAATCATAAATTTGCATTCCCGTCTCCTAATTTGAAAAATTTTCTAACTTCTCTAGTTACTCTAGGCCTACTAGACACCAACCCTGTGTGTTTATAAACACATACTTAAACTATGTGAAATAATAAGCATTTAATAGAATAAATGAATATATATGTATATACGCTTTAATAGTGAGTCAGTCGCCTCTTATATAATAATTGATTGCTTTAAACTAGACAATTGACAGCTACAAGAGTAACTTACCAACTTAACAACAAATTATTTCGTAAAAACCAAATGTAATAAATACATCAGAATCCTAAATCTAATAACATTAACGTTAAGCTGTCAAAGGCTTACTTAAAATAAGTTTAACAACAATGAAAATTAGTTAGAAATTTTGTATTATTCACAGATAGCCTAATGATAAAAGAATCAATTGATAACAAGATAACTATAAATCAAATAAGTATATAGCTTAAATGTTCAATATGCTCATCAAAACAAAAATTAGAATCAACTAAAAAAACTTAAAAATGAAGACTAAAATCAAATTAAAGAAACAATCCATTGCTCTTATGAACTACCTAAGACTTATAATAATAATACAAGTATAAGACAAAATTGTTTCTAATACAAGGCTTTGAGATGAGAAAAATTGAAATACAATCAATTCAAGACAACTTTGAAAATATTATTTCAAATAATATTGACCTGTTATCACTAAGTGACAAACCTATTCAGGGAAATTCAAATTAAATACTACCTTGATACATATTTATACTTAGATTACAGAAACTGACATAGCCAAATAAAAGCACTAAATTCACAGATAATTGATTAGCAAACATAAATCAGAGATGGAGGAGTGCATAAAACCTGTCAAGGATATTTGAAAATAAAAAAACAAAAACTAAAATGAACATTATCCTGTAAAACAATGCCTTCAGGAAAAAATATATAAGTCAAGTACCTGATGAACAATTTGACTTCTTTGTAGTACCGTCTTCAACATCGGTATCCAGTGGTCTTTTTCTAGAATCTGCATTTTCAGGAGAAGAACAAGTCTGTATACCAGAATCTCCGGCCATTTTGCATTTGAGCACATAATGAATTGTGCTCCTGCCACCAGGAGCACTAGAATCGAGAGATAGAAACTGAAAAATAGGGAATAGCTCAGAGCTCTCGACTCGACCAATCCCGCTCCATTTAAACTTCTCATAAAAGGTCTTTGACCATGGGTCAGCGATTTCAGCCAATTTTTTTTTCTTCCTTACTTCACTACCGAAGGTTGGGAAGCTTTGTATACGTGCGAGAGGTAAAAAAACAATTTTGTGCTCAGAATCGAAAATTTTCATTCTTGTTTTACCTTTCAAATATCAAGGAACAAATTTGGTTCTGTGTCTGTCTTTCTGTAGTCAAATCGATGTGACAGTAATCAAATCAACAACCACCGTCTATCCGACTTTCATGAGATTTTGCAGGCTGGTGCTTTGATGGTTTCATAATAATTTCATCATTCCAAAACAATAATACAGAAAGAAACCCCTTTAACCCACAACCTAGTTACTGTAGATTGGAATATGGCACAATGACGACAAAGGAGAACGAAATATTAGACCGTTGGGCAAGACATTTTGGTAACCTATTGAACTCGGAAACAAAGGAGGAATGTAATAAACTAATCCCTCCAACAGAAAGAGATCTGGATACGCCTGATGAGGAAGAGATTGGGAAGTCATAAGTAAAATGAAAAATTACAAAGCACCGGGAAGTGATAACTTTCCATAGGAGTTATTCAAACACTGTGTAGAAGATCTCGTAAAAGAATTGAGAGAGTTACCTAAGCATCTGGAATAATGAAGTGATGCCAAACTCCTGGAAGAATGCCGTAATATGACCGATTTATAAGATCGGAGATCAGCTCTTAAATTAAGTGCGATAATTATGGGGGCATTTCTCTACTCAATTGAGCGTATGAAATCTTCTCCAGTGTACTACGTGTCAGGCTACTTCCATATGCCTTGAGAGAAACAGCTATTAGGTGTTGGTTTAGAAGACACAAATCTAACGCAGATCACATCATTACCCTCTGAATGATTCTAGAAAAGGACAGGGAACACAACACCAATTTGTGGATTTCAAGTCGGCCTACGATAGTTTTGCAGAGAAGAGCTAGATACAGCCATATCTAAAATGATCATTCCACTCATACATAGGTGGGCCGAAAAAAATAAACTAAAGCTGAGCGCAGACAAAACCAAGGCAATCCTAATCGGCTCCAAACACCTCATTAGTTCCCTTTCTTTCTCTCCTCTACTTTACCTAAATAACCGTCCCATCCATTTCTTTCCGACAGTCAAAAACCTTGGAGTGATCTTTGATCAGAATCTCTCTTGGAACAACCAAATTTTCCCAGATTACCCGTAAATCCATAACTATCCTTAAACAATTCCTTCGATTCCGTGATTCCATTCCGAATAAAACCAGACAGCTCCTTGTAACATCCCTTGTTTTCCCCAACTTCGACTACGGTTGCCTGGTGTACGGAGGGCTGTCCACAGAACTGGAGGCGAGACTGAAGAAAATTATATTTGGGATTCCCAAGCGTTCTCATATTTCTTGTCGGTACACCGAGTTGAAGTAGCTATATCCTTACTTACCAACGGCAATTTCTTCTTGGTGTCCTTCTTTTTCAAGTTCTCAGAAGCAAAAACTCTCCCTACATCTTAGAACTCCTTACTTTAAGCTCCTCTATCCACTCTCTCAATACCAGATCTCAAACTATAGATTTATATATACCCTCCCATAAAACCACTTCCTTCAGTAAATCCTTCGTCATTCATGCTACCTCCTTATGGAACTCCTTACCCATCTCCATACCTCAAACCACCTCCATAAACTCCTTCAAACAACTCCTATTCCATCACCTACTACAAATTAAAACTTCGGCAAGCTTGTACAAATTTCTGGGTTATTTAATTACGTTGGTCACCAGCAGTTAGTTGATAGAAGTCATTTTATTTTTATTTATTAATTTTTTTATATCTCAGTATTTTATTGTATATATCTGTGTTTATCGTTAGTACGTTTTGTAGAGTTTTATATTTTCCTTTATATTTTTTATTTATATATGCGTATTTTCCTCAGTATCTTTGTGTGTGTGTATATATATATATGCTTACAATTTCCTAGGTATTTTTTGTATATATTTGTATGATATTTACATGCCAGACTAATGTACATATTTTTTAAACTCTACTATTATTCTAAGGGCACTTCAGTCCCAGAATAAAATTATTTTTCATTTACAAAAAAAAAAAAAAAAAACTCGTACGCTTAATTAAAATTGACTATGGAGGACTCCCTATGTTGAGTATGCTGTAATGGAGCCTCTCAGCTGAATTTAGAGCCAACAAAGGTCTAAGACAAGGTGGCACCGTTAGAAATGAGAGGATTTGGATGGTTATAAAGTTTAGTATGAAAGAATAAGTATCTGGAACGGGTCAAACCGGAAATTTATGGAACATTAAGGTCTTTATGAATTATTTTATTTGTGACAAAGTAAGGAGCATTGAGGATTTTGGATTGTAAGTATTGGACACGAGAGGAATTCGATGGTTTAGTGGAGTCCCAAATAGTAGAAGAAGACGAAGAAGAAAAATAAATTTTATTCTGGGAATAAGTCCCCTTAGAATAACTACCATGTACAATTTAATGACAATTGCCTGGCATTAGACATAAATTAGATTACAAGATTGTGTAGATCTAAGGTTACAATAAAGAAAAGGCACTATTAGATATATGAAATCATAGATAAATTCAGATATGCGAGTTCACATATTTTTACACATAAACAATGTAGGTGATATATAATTATCTGTCAGATAACATTAAAGCGATTAACAGATCTGAAAAACGGGAACATTATTTTACACATATTCGGAAGATTGATTACTAAGGAGATGGATAGATATATTATTTTTAAATGAGGTCAATATGGTGATTTGAGTATGGAGGTTGGTAGGGAATTCAAAAACAAGGTAGCAAGCATGACAAAGGATTTTTTAAACGAAACAGTTCTATGAGAAGGCACCTGTTTGCCATTATTATTCACTAGTTGACCTCCAGGGATCTTCTATTTCCACAGCTTACAAACAATAGCTCCTAGATAGGTAAACTGGTCTACATTGTGGAACTTAAATGGGCCCATAACCACCGGTACTCGTACAGTGGTCTCGGTTTCAGGTCCTGCTCGCATATACGTCGTCTTTTCCTGATTCACACTCATTCCCAAAGCTTCTGCCGCTTCAGCCAACCTTAAAAATGCACTTTTAAGAGACTATATAAACTAGACTTGAAAATTCCGCTAAAGACAAAACAAGATATTGACAGTGCCATAGAAAAACTTATATCCTTAATTACAACTAGTATAAATGATAACACCTCTACTAGTAAAACTAATAAATCACATAAGACTAACTTGCCACAGCATATTCGGATCTTATTAAAGGAAAACGCAGAGTGAGATCGAAAGGACACAGAACTAGATACCCGACAGATTATGACCCATTATGACCAACTGACTAACAAACTAAAATCAGAAATTAGAAAATACAAAATTCAAAATTTACTAAATTTTACTGCAAAACTTACACCTACCAACAAATCATTATGGACGACCACTAAAATGCTCCTGGAATTTAAAGATTGTAATCATCCTTTCCTTACTTAAGTTCAAACCTAGTACAAAACCGATGAAGAAAAATTATGAATATTTGCTCACCACCTCTTCAAAATCTTTAATCCACATCCTGATATCTTTAATCCAGACCATCTTGACTGTATTGACGCAGAACTGAATGTTCCACTCCAAATGACTCCTCCTAAAGCATTTCATCCTTCAGAAATACCCAATATCATTCACAGATTACCCTCCCACAAAGCCCCTGGCCACGACCTAATCACATCCCACTACTTCTTCGAAAAGCCATTCTATTCCTTACTTACATATATAACGCCGTACTCTGTTACACATATTTACCTGGCTCTTAAAATTGGGCTACAGGTGCTATTTTGTCCTCAGCAACACCTTGGAAGCTCTGCCATCTCCCGTCATACAAAATTCCTCATATATAAGACCCTCGTTACGCCTGTTCTCACATATGAATCAGAAATCTGGACCCTCTCTAGCTAAGAAGAAAAAGATTTGCTAATCTTTGAAAGGAAGATCCTTCGGCGCATCTTTGGACCTATTAAGGTGATGAATGGAGAAGGAGGAGTAACAGGAACCTATATGTTCCGTATGGGGAGACAGATGTGTTGAGGTGCATCGAGCTTGGGCGACTACGTTGGGCTGGCCATGTGGCCAGAATGCCAGAAGAGGAAGTCCCAAGGAAGTTGCTTGATGGGAAGCTCTGCAGGACAAGAGGCAAGGGCAGACCACGTCTAAGATGGGAGGACGCTCTCATCTGGAACGCCAGAGAAATATTGCATACTCGCAACTGGCGAGCGACTGCGCAAGATAGAGCCATCTGGCGCCTGCTAATTGAGGCGGCCAAGGACCACACCGGTCTGTAGCGCCATGGAGTTAGTTTATTTTCCACGTCATCGCGAAATCTCTCCCAATTTACGCGTCCTGTAATCAATGTAGGAGGTGAGGGCTTAGGAGCAATGTTTAAATGCAGTAGAAGCAGAACTGGACTATGATCTGAAGAAAGGTCATCCAGAAATATGATTATGGCTTGGGAGGAGGAAATCTGTAGGTGATAAATATATATCGATGATCGATGTTCAACATCCCCATTTTTGGTGTTTAGCGTTGTAGTCTCCTCCAGAAATAAAACGCGATCTGAAGGATTGGAATAAGGAATCAAGAAGGCTACTTATAGCGTACAGTATGAGATCAATACGGTTCACAGCGCTACAAGTGCTACGCCACATGATCGCATGTTCCTTCATCCAAGAAAATCCACAAGCAGTACATTTCTTAAGACGGAATTCGCGAATAGTCTGTAGCTGGATGGATGGATGACTTGAGAAAGTGATGTTGGCAGTGCTGGAATATTTTTCCAACCTTCAATTCGGGTGCCTCGGTGCCTCAGTTTTTTTTATAAAGTCTAAGGTTTTTCAACGCTTTATTATGCGATCTCAGCTTGAGAAGATTTGTATAAACTATGAAACCTCTGTAGCTCTCTGGGTGTTCATCGCCACACAGTGCACATGTCGTAGCCTCTTGCCTTGGTTTCTGGCAATCATCAGATGGATGCGAACGAGCACATTTGACACAGCTGATGATGGAAATAGGCCTTTGAATATAATAGACGTTTTATGTTAAATATTTCAGAGTTGTTTTTTGCAGGTTCAAGATCTACGAAAACTAATGGTAGCGGGTATTTTAGTGGAAGCACAGTTGATATATTTCTTACACTATGGCCTATTTCTTCCAATCCCATTTCGATTGCGCTAGTGGAAGTAGTTAAATGGAGACCTCTTAATACGACTCTATATGTTTTTTCCTGCCTGAGCTGTTAACAATGGAAATCGTATTTTACTTAAAAGTAAAATGTTTAATTAGTTTCTTATAATTTTCTTTAGAGTTGGTATTTATTTTAATATCATTAACTCTGGAAAAAAAATTAATTTGGCAGTCCTATAAGATCAGTGATTTCTTCTCCAAAGGACATAAAATTTGAAATGTTTGCGACGAAAATGGGTTGCGGTTCAGAATCAGAAATTTCTTTCGGTTCCAAAGTCTTCTTGATGGGTTGTTGGCTGTAACAGTGTTACTGATCGAGGTGGTTGGTGAAAATGAATCTGATTTGATGGCAGAGGTGGTTTTGCTGCAAGTGTTTGGTGTAGTTTTGTTTTTTCAAGTGTCTTTTTGGCCAATTTATATTTTCTTATTTGGTGAGTTTTCCGCTGATCCGGGGGCAGATTTCTATGGGGCTTTTGAAGAGTCCTTCTTTTTAAATATTGTGAATCGTATTCTCATATTCCGACATATTGGATGCCGCTATTATAAAATTATAAAACATTTGACAGGCTTATTCTCGCGTTTTTGACTCGCGGCATACGTTCACTCAGATCAGGGATCATCTTTCATGTGAGTTGCAACGACCCTCACTACTCCCTTCAATCTTTGCAGAAATGGTCAATGTAAGCGGTACAACGGGGTAATTTGGAGTACGATCACATTCGCCTTAAAGTACCACGGGCTTGAAACCAAACAGTGGGATCTTGACATGAATGATGCACCTCACAGTAGGAGATCAATACGGTTCACAGCGCTACAAATGCTACGTCACATGATCGCATGTTCCTTCATTCAAAAAAATCCACAAGCAGTACATCACTCCCGGTATGGCTCTTGAACTCAGGACCAGTTGTCTTAAGGAAAATCCAGCGCCATAGTAAGTACGACCCGCTCGTTGAAGAAGTGGACCTGATAGAGGCTAATCCAGACAACGCTCAGGTTAGGCTACCATATGAAACAGGAACTTTTCACCTGGAAATTGGCCAATTGTTTATATGACCTTTTTTGTAGATCTTAATGTCTACTATCGCTCCTATAAATATTTCCCTCTACTTACGGGTTTTAGAATAGGTATAATATTGTAATGCAGCAAAGAAATTACTTCGTACCTATTGTATTGTACGCCATTAATAAGGCCTTAAATGTACAATCTTTATCATATTAATAACAGTGAGGGTTATTAATACTGTGAAGTAATAATATTTCGCAATGTTTAAGAAAATTTCCAATTTCATACTTCTCTGTTCACAGTTTGTTGCTTTTTACCCCGGCGAAATCATATTCCAGTACTGCTGGGATTGATCTGTGGTTCTTGTCTTGTTCTGCTGTTGTAATAAACTGTCTTGTTAATTGAATTATAATAAGACATATTTACTTCACCTTTTACAAAATGTTTGTATTTTTCTTGAGTTTAAGAGTTTTTACTTGAGACTTGCTTTTTGTTTTTTAATTTTTTTGTTTTTGTAGCTAAATAAAATGGCATCTAAAAAAAAAAAGGCAGACTCATCTTCAGGATCAGAAGAGGATGATATAAAGGTTCTTATTAAATGGATTAGATTTTTTTGTAGTTTTGGTTTATTGTAATTATTCTTTTAATTAATCCTGTTTAATGCTACAATTCTTTCATTGATTATTATGAAACCTTTTTATTAGAATTCATAAATACTTTTTACTGCAAAAAGAGCATGCATTATTACTCCAAATATACATTTAGCTTGGAATAAAGAAATGTTATTTATAAATAAATTTACAGTTTTATTTACTTATATCCTTCTTACATCATGTTTGTTTTTCATGTTCTGACAGTTAATATTATGAGTGATAATTTTTTTAATAATTATGAGTGATTTACTTGAATAATTTTGTTTTTATTTTGTGATAGTTCTGGGTTCATTAGTAAACACAAAATTAATAAATTTATTTTAGAAAGGTTCCTGACTTATTTTTTATATTATCATCTCTACATCAAAACCTGCTAATCAATGGTATGGTTTGCTGACCTCTAATTTATCCTTTGCTGTTTCGCATCCCTTATCAGTGAGCAATATTGTCAAATTAAGACCCTATCCCGAAGGACCTTGGATCTTAAATATTTGGTTGTTTAAATTTATAGTTTATATAATATAATCTGATATTGCATCAAGGTTATAAAATTTACTTAAGAAATTTGGAATTCAAAATATTATTTAAAAAGTAGATACCCAAACTCTGGAATCATTGGTAAACAAAAAATTTATATATTTATTTTAGAAAGGTTTCTGACTTATTTTTTATATTCTCATCCCTACACCAAAATCTGCTAATTAGTGAGTTGGTTTGCTGACCTCTAATTTACCCTTTGCTATTGTGTATCTTTTACTATTGAGGAATAGTCAAATTAAGTCCCTACTCTGAAGGATCTTGGATTTTAAATATTTGGTTGTTTAAACTTTTAGTTAATATAATGTAATCTGAGATTATATTAAGATTATAAAATTTATCAAGCATAAACTTACATTAGAAATTTGGAATTCAAAATATTAAAAAAAAATAGATAACCAAAACAGATGGATAAAGTGCAATTGTCAAATTTTTGGTTGGGATTTATTTCATGGCGAACCTATGGAATGAAGCTTGGCCTCACTGTGGCTAGAATAGGTTGGTAACCTGTAGGGTAACACATCCTTCCTTCCTATTTGGGGTACACAATTACATTGTTTAATATAAATAAACAAACTAACAAATCATAAAAATTTTAAAATATTATTCTGTTTTATATTCTATTGCTTATTGATACGTACCTGTTTTTAATTTTTTAGGATAAGTCAAAAAAAGCCAAAACTAGTGGGGGATCAAGAGGAGATGAAGATAAAGAACCATCATGGCCACTTGATAAGAAACGATTTCTCAAAGTCAGAGAATTTAAAGGGAAAGTAATGATAGATTTACGAGAATATTATGATTCAGATGGAGAATTGAAGCCAGGACGTAAAGGTAGTTTTTTGTATTAAGTTTTTAAATATAGATTTTAGAAATGTTAGGAACTGTGTGTCGAATTGATCATTTCATGAGTATTTTTGAGGTTTGCTGCTATGCTATTTATATTGAAAGTTGGATCTTATTTACTTTTATAATTTGGTTTTGAAGATATTTGAAGTTCTCAAGTCATAATGATACTTGAATGAGTTATTTCATGCATTTACTTCCCTTTCTGGATCAGTAAAATCTTAATATGAATAATCACATACACCTTATATTGTTTTATCTTTTGCTTCACTGTTTCTTTGATCCCTTTACATGGTTATTTCCTGCAGTTTGTGCCTAATTGTATCTTCTAATTATTCCAGTTATAAACATTCTGATGTTTCTCATTTCCAGCTTATTTTCAATACATTTTTTACTGTCCCCTTGCTATCTCTGTTAAGAGACCTAAAAATAGCTATATATTCCAATGTAAGTTTATTGTTTAACTACAAAAGCTTTTGGTGTAAGTATTTTATTGATTATCCTATTTAACAAATTAAAAAAATTAAAGCATTTTTCTAATCTTTGTGTACCAAATTAAAATTAGGGAAATAATCAGATCTGAAACTAGAAATGCTAGAAAGTGTTTAATACTAAATTTAAATAACATATTTGAAAATTACCAACTGACAACCTTAGGCATGAAAACAACAAATATTGTTTTCATGTCCTATCTGCAATTATCAACTTTCACTATCGAAAACTTTACCTAAAATATTTTTTTCAAGAAGTTTGCTTATCCCCCGTTTTGAATTTCACAAATCTGACACCAATTTTTCATCCTTATACTGGTATAGATGCATATGTTAAGCATTCTTAACCTTATCTGATAAACTATTATCTTTTCAATATCAGTTTTCATCAGTTTTCAACGCCTATCTAGGCTTACTATATTAGAATTTCAAAAAGCCAAGTGGTTCCGAGAATTAGACATTTCTACCATTAATACCAATTAATCATTTTTAGGTATTTCTTTATCACTTCAGCAGTGGAGAAAATTGGTGGAAATATCAAAAGAGGTTGATGAAGTTTTAAAGAAGATGTAACCAGTATTTATGATGTTATGTTTCATTTGTTTTAATTTAATGTTAGGTGTTCTCAAAGATCATTTCTTAATTTTTCCTTTCTTAGCTATCTGTACATAAGCTGTTCTTAATTCAAATTGTATCAATTTTTGAAATGCCATTTTTATATTAGATAAAGAATATCTGTGTACTTTTTATTCTCTAATGATGTAATTTGATCTTATTTACTGTGATTTTTTCTAGTCTGTATTATATGGGAGTGTGAGTGTGTGTATTTATTTATTTTTTAAATTGTAAGTTTAAATATTTCTAATTTTATCCTAATTTATTAATAAACTTTTAAAATATTTTGTTTTTCTATCCATGTTTTCCATTTATTGTAAAAGTTCATGTTTGAATGCCAGTTAGTGAGTTCTTTTATTTTATAATTGAGTTTAAAACAATAATTGAATAACATATTGTATCATTATTTTTACTAAATAAATTCTTTTCAGTTCCTATAAATCTATAAATTAGTTACTTAGAAAATTAAAGTTTTTCAGTGGTACAGGCCAAAATAAAGAAGTTGACCTTATTTTTTAAAATATCTCAGTCATAATGTGAACATCTATGCTGACTGGATTTGTATCAAGAACACCCATGATTTATCATGCAGGTCTAACTATCTATGACTAGTTAAAATTAGCTAAGACTAATTTTGAGGTGAAATGGACTTTGTAAATCTTGATAAGTAATATCATTAGTTTATACCTATTTCTGGAAAAAATTATGAGACAAATTTATGTATATCTAAAATGACGATTCATTTTAACTTGCATGCATTTACCAAGGATTAATCCTTGTTTGGTTTAGGATGAAATATTTACACAAATGCATTAGTTTGATCTGTTCATTTGTTTTAACTTTAATTTCTTTATTGCTTTGGACAAAAATCTTTAAATACTCAAAATTTGTATACAGTTATTCTATTATTTTTACTTGAGATTAGTTGATTGTTTATATTTGACTATTAATTTTATCTATAAACAATTTTTTAAATAAATGTATTTTACTCATATTCATAAAATGAAGAAATTGTGAAAATCTATTATAAGCAATATCCTTGTAACGTTAGCTTCTTTTTCTACTATTATTACATATTGTCATTATACCTAATATAAGAATAAATTGACAAGTATTGTGTCATAAACTACTGTAACTGTTAGTTTAACACTTACAAGGGGAGATTTGGTGTTACGGATATCAATGAAACTTTTTTTGATGATACTAAGTCAATATAATATTTGACTCACGTTCGAGGGTTTTTGCTATTGGTCCTCAGGAGCCGAAAAAACAAACAAATCTTAATAGTTTTTTATATTATTATTTTCGGCTGTATAATATATGTATAAGTTCGATTAAGGTTATGTGATGGAACCTAAATGTTGAATATAAGTCAGCTCATGCTGTGTATAACTGTTAATGAATAATGATATACAAGTACTTTAATGGCAGGAAAATTATTAGTAACTATGTCAAGACATCGGTCGCCTTCCTATTCTTTTGGATGCATTCGGTACTCCATGAAGATGTGTGACTTCAGTGATTGAGAACCACACGTAATCCCTGCCCAGCTCTTGTGAACTAGTACCTAAATTTGTATTTTTGAATTTTCGAAGGATGCTATAAATGAATCTGAATCGTTTTTTTAATTAAAAAAAAAATACTTGACCTACTTTACTTAAAGTTTCTTGTGGTGTTTATAATTTATTATACATTTGAATTGGTGCAATACAAATAGAAATATGTTTTCTTATTTTACACAAAAAAAAAAAATTCAATTAATGTTTTATAACCAACAAATCCATGGAAAGCAATGGCAGAAAATAATATAAAAATATATTAAAATTTTATATATTTTCTTTCTCCACTCTTAGGGCACATTGGCAACCCTCGGGCATGGATCAAATATTTTTCGACCTAGTATCACCAAAAAATGTTTCATTGAAATTGGTGACTCCACGTCTGTGACTTATCCTTGTTAGTCTGGTATGTGCAATTGAATACAATAAATTATTTTCAGCTACTACTAATAGATCCCAATCTTTCGTATTAATAGTTTTTGAACATAAGTGTAACATAAGGTTGACACAAGTATGTTCACTGCTTTAGGTATGGACGTTGGTGATACAGAATTTTATTTCACATAAAAATTATATTATTACAACAATAAAGGTTGAGGTGCCTAGTTAAAAAAAAGCTATTAACATAATAGTATAAATGAGTAAATAAATAATAAATATTGATCTTTGAATTAAAAGTAATAAAATTGGCCAATCTTTCGAAGTGCACAGTACATCAGGATTTACTAGATTAACATCCTCTTCACTTTTTTGTTTTGAATCACCCTGTAAAAAGATAATTATCATTACTTTTACATTTAATTTAGACATTATGATTATGAAATATTGTAAAGTCTATTTTCAATATAACTCACATGTAATTCTTATTTGATTATTTGTTTTTAAGTATTATTATAATTATCTCTTCTTTTTAGTGTTTGTTTCTTTTTTAGTATTGTTGATATAATTTTTCATAAATAATTTTATCATGATAGTTTTGGTGCAAATTTATTTTTTAAATACAAGGGTTATATATATTACTATGTTATCCAATGAGTTTAAAAGAGAAAGATATCAAGAACAAAAAGCCACTACAGTATTGCTGGGGAAGATACAGTGTTAGGGATGGGCCCTTCCCGCCTGAACAGACGAGATCGTCATAGCCTATTTCGTTCCCCCAGAATTTAATATAAGATAAGAACGTGAGAGTCTTTAGGATTCGATGACAACTGATCGGAAGAAGAGTCGTAAATAGTTCAGAAACGATTTATTGAAATTAAGGAGAGCAGGTTGTCACGGAACTGGATTAGCAGAATTGTGGAATGAACCACAACCACTTCAAAAATCAACCCTAATGACTATATTTCATTTTAAGTTTACATAAAATCAAATTAGATTAAATTATAATCTAATTGAATATAATACAACTATTAAGAATTAAAAAAAAAAACATTAATTAAGACTTGGTTTTTTTTTTATTTAATTAAGTCTTGTGACAGATTGTAACATTGCTCAATAAATCAGTTTAAAAAAAAATTAAAATGGCGACATCCATTTAAATGATAACAAACAATGACTTTAACCAAATAACTTTAGATTGCTAAATAAAAAATGTGATTCTAATAAGCAAACGAAACTGGCCGTGGAAGATTTCATATCATTAGAAGTTACATAAATTATTAGGAACTAAGAAACGTTTATAATGAGTATGTTTCGTGATAAATTGGCGTCTATTCTTTTTCTCGAAGAAAAAACAATTTTTTTATCGCTCAAATATTTTATTTACAACTGTAAAATATTACAATTAGCAAATAAGTTAAACGAGCGCAGGTCCATATGGTTTTAGTAAATAAGTATAAACGTTGAGATTTGGTCTGATGTGTAATTTAGAATGCCTGTGTAGCATGGAATATAATAGTCTCAATTGGAAATTTAGCGTTTTATGTTTGTCTTAACGTATGGTCCCCGTGTCAACCTTCTGTCATAAAAGGTCCCAACTATTTTTTTTTGTAGTATCGGATGATTGTCAATGTAAACAGGAGGGCAGGTTTCGTGTCGTAGTGTTAATGTAAAGTACAGATCGGCTTAAGAAAGTCTGGTCAGATTTGAAGGTGGATTTGGAAAATCCGAGTATTCCAAAACGTCTTCTTGCGAAATCTTTTCTTCACCAGTTCTAAATTAATCTTTGAATCTTTGTATTAGGAGTTGTAGGGCTTCGTAAGGTATAGGTTTTGAGAGGTGTAAGTTGATGTACCAGAGAAAAGTATAAGATGAGAGGCTTTCCACCATCCCCAGAGTTGGAAGAATTAACAAGTTCAATGGATTGGGATTATGAGTCTAGTATGGGATTAATATTTTGTAGGTTTCTAAGATTTCCCAGGACTGTTTATGAATGCAAGTGGGAGTAGGAATATTATAGGAGCTTTGGATGAGAAGGTGGTATGGTAGTAATGGTATTGCACTTCTATATATATTTCTAAAAACAATGAAGAAGAAGAAAACAATTATAAATAAACAAAAGCTGCGGGATTAAATGTGATAAGTAATAAAGCTAGAACAACTCAAAATAAACAACAGACAAATTAAAATAAAGAAATAAAAATAGCGATCCCCAAATCGAATAAAAACCAAAAATTATAATTAATAATGAAAGTTTATTATTAGGCATATGTGTACTAAAACATTCTCCCTTAAGTTGATTGCCTATAGTTCGTAGGTATGTAAAGATTTTGTGAGAATAAGATGTTTCCATGACTTTAAAAGGTTCTTAATTATACGGTTACATTATTTTGTTGGCCACTGTCGCTTTGCTTTTACGTTCAAGAAAACATGTCACTAAAATTTGTTTCACTGATACGATTGATTTAATTTAAGAGTTTGAAATATCTTTTTAATCCATGCTTCTGATGTACTTATTTATTTTTCTGTTATCTTTCTAAGTAAATTTGTTTAATCTATAATAGCTCTGATGATAAAAAAAAATAGCTAAATGTCTTGTTTTCAACTTATGTATTCGCGCTAACATACTACGAGTTTTCCGCGACTTTCTTTAGCCATCACCAAAATGCCGGGCATTGGTGAAACGTTGGATGTAGTAGAAAGCTTTTAGAGGTGCTGAGAGGGTAAAAAAAACTCTGGACAGTTGGAATTAAATTAGTAGAAGTTGGTTGAGAGTGCAGTTAAAAGTGAAAGTACACACAAATTTGTTATTGCATCTTTACTTTTGACTGTTTCCCCAATTAGGATCGTAGAAAGAGAATTCGGGACACAAAGGGAGTCCAGGTTTTATTTTTTATCGTTACATTTTTTAAAACGAAATATTTTATACAAAATAATTTTACATTATATATAATAATTTGTTAAAATCTTTACATAAGGTATTTGTTGCATATATAATATAAGAAAAGGTTGGGTTTCGGTGATGAATTGCTTACACTCTACGGTCCTTCCACCAATTAACTATACCTCTACAGTTGAGAATTAAGTTAGATTCATAATTTTAATAAGAATTTTAAATTTATTAAATGATAAGGTCCTTTAGTTCCTGATAATATAAGCAGACTAAGGAAATTCTTACTTCTCTATCCATATTTTTATGTGTATACTAAATAATATCTTTGTGTTTCTGTAAATGTATCTATATAAGGATAATTACCTGTGAAACTAGTAACATCCTTGTATATTTTGTGGTCTGCAGGTTTCTTAGAATATTACTTAACCAAATGGGGAGGTCCATAGTAGTTGCCATCCTATCAATCCAGACACATACAATCAGAGCAAACACTCCCATCACAAGGGAATCCCGAATGTAAGCCACTTTAAAAAGAAAATACAATAGTATTAAGATTTTCTTACTAAACATTAGTTGAAGGTAACCCATTTAAGTAAATATTAAATTAATTTATTTACTTAGAAAAGATCCTTTTCAAATTCATTTTCCTTTCTGTTGCAAATATTTAATTAAATTTACAAGCATAGATTGTTTTATTTTTATTTTTTTCATTTATTAGATTTTTCATATTTTATTTACCTTATTTATCAACATATTGCTTATTATTAGATTTGTTTATTGTAATTTCAATTTTTTTAGTCAAAATATTCACCCATAAGTATTGTGTTGTCGGCATTGTGAGGAAGAACTGAACCAAGGTATTGAAGATAAGCTACATGGCCTACAACTGCCAATGCAAGTGTGTTATAACAGCGCTCACTTGAAAATGGAAGCAACATCGGAAATAGAACCATCGAAGTTAATACTAAAAATTAAAAAAGAATATATTAATAGAAAACGACATGAAAACAAACATATATGTTACAATTTAAATATGAATACTTCAACAGAATAAATTTAGAAATTAAAATAAATATTATAAGATATATTAAAACTAATTTTGTATTGAAAATCTAACTAGAAGAAATCCCGTTCACCTGGAAGGATATGACGGGCCCATCGCCCAGTCTTAGTACCTTAGATAGCCACTGGTCTTACAGCTTTGTTCATTTTTTTTTTTTAAGGCTTCAACCACTTGGGTTATTATCACTGAGAATTAGATTTTATTTTATTTAAGCTTAGAACGTTTCAGAAACGAAAATAGTTTATCAACCTCATTCGTATTGTCCTGCAAAATGGAGTGTAAATCGCTTGTCAAGTCACAAGAGAGTCTAAACGTTTCTTAAGTTCTACATTCCGTTAAAATGTGTTCCGCTGTCAGAGGAGTCCCACAAGTTTGACATGTTGGCGAAGAATCGCGGGCCATCAGGTATCCATGGGTAAGGCGTGTATGACCTATACGCAGGCTCGTAAGAACTACCTCCTCTCTACGGTTATTCCTATTTGGTCTTGTATGAAGGGGTAAAACATCAATGGCCGTCAACGCCATTTTTTCTGTTTAGTTAATTTTCTTGTATGTATTTAAATATTTACACTGATGTACACAAACAAACGCTTATTGATCAATAAAACGAGAAATCCACTCAATCACAGAAAAGAAGAAAGGTGGAAAAAAGATTAAAGGAATTCGAGTTCCAGCTCTCTGAGCGGTCACCCTTTTGGATAAGACTCCTGACTTGATAGCCTTCAGCTGTCGTAAAGGCTTCAAGACTGCCAATATCATTATAATAATTATAAGTTTTCAATTAAACCAACTAACTCAATCTATACGATAATATTTTACAATATTACAGGTTATCAAAATGTATTTAACATCAGTTCATTTTCATGTATCAATAGGCTAACAATATGTATAGTAGAAACCTGGTTGACGAACAGTAGTTTTATCATACAATCTTGATTAAAGAAAATATCATCCACTTTAGTAGCAACGGAGTTAAATCTAAACAACGAGGTAGGGCTAGCGGAGGTATCGCTATGTTCATAAATCATAAATAAACTATTACCAAATTAACCAATATATGATCATAGTATCTGTTAATGTCAGTAATTAAATTTTAATAAAAAGTGCTGAGAAACGATTACCTACCCTGAGATTGTGATTTTGAAGGGTGTTTAGAGAAAATCAGTGGGGTTATATCTAAAGTCATATCTAACCAGCCTGATACTAATATAATTTTGTGTAGAGAATCTGATTTGTTTCAGAATACGAACTTATATGAAAAGAGATTGGTAAATCATGACAATATAAACGGGAATGGTAAGCTGTTGGTCTAGACAATGGAATCGATAGGACTGTCAGTAAGTAATAGAAGCACTTCAGACAGACCAGGAAAATACCCCTACATTTCAAAATAAGGTAATAGCACTATTAATCTTATTTGGATTAATGTATCCACCATAACTCCATCCCTCCCCACATCCGTCAATCCAAAACCCTTCCTACCTTTAAATCCCGACTTATCCATTATTTAATCATTTCTTATCCGTCCAGTCCTCATAAAATTGTAAATAGTTACTACTGTAAATATGTATATAAATTATTAGATCGTTCTTCATTATTTTTACTTCATGTTAATTTTCAATTTTTTATTTTTTATTATTAACTGTTTTAAATTAGAAGGTAACTTATAATTTCTCCTATTATTTTTTTTATTTTGACTATTTAATGAAACTATATTCTTGTTTATGAATCTCTGAGGCTCCTTAGCCTACATTTTTGTCTCTCTGTATTATTCTAAAGGGACTCGTCCCAGAATTAATAAAGCATTATAATTATTATTATTATTTACCCCCGAATTCCAAAGCCAAGTTATTTAGAATGATTATGTGATTAATACTGTCAAACATCTTTAGAATATCAAAGAAGGCATCCCGTTTAAAAAATCATATTAAGTCTCAGCTATATGATCTCAGTTACTAAGTGATCTATTGTGGATTGGTCTTTTCCGAATTCAGATTGGAATGGTTGCCTAAGTCGATTTTTTTCTTCTACAATCCACATCAATCTTCTATTGACTATTTATACCAATATTTTGCAGACACAGTTTGTGGAAAAATTGGATGGTAGCTCGATATGATACGTATATATTTTCCAGTTTTTAGGATTGGAATGACTACTGAATCACGCCAAATATTAGATAATTTGCCAGTATGCCAAATGTGATTATAGTAATCAAGTAGCCATTGTTTGGTGCAGTTCAAAAGATTTTTAAACATATCTTAACGTATATAACATTTATTAACTTTTTATGATGTTCAGTATATACTCAACACAACAACATAAATGATATTATTTAGTTCCAAAGTTGTAAATTGTAGATATGGGATTGTATCGTCGGTACTATTTTAAAATTATATTTCCTAGGAAGTGTTTTATTTTTTGTCAGGTTGGATATTTTGGAAAAGTAACCAGTAACGGTATTTGAAACTTTTACTGGGTTATCGGACAGCTACCCATTGACTAATATGACAAGGCGGTGGTAAGCGGGTTCGGAAGATAGTTTTCTGATTTTGTCTTAAACAATGGTGAAGCTAGCAGAGACATTTATATTAGTAAAGATATTATTTCACAACTCGGCTTTTATTGCTTAAACGTTTGTCTGCAAATAGCTCTATGCTTTTTAAACTCTATTAGATTTTCGGTTGTCATGCATTTTTTGTAGCCCCTACGACAATTTATAATAACATTTTTCATTAAACCACGAGACTGATGGTATTTTTGGAGAACCCGATGTCATCGATATTGATGAATTAGCTGCTTGGATAATTGTATTTATAGGATGGATTCGTTTCCTTCTTCAATACTCCGATCGTGTAGAGAGCTTTGTAGTGGAATAGCTAAAGACGTAAACTTGGGCCAATCATCCTAACAACTATCTAAGATTGGTTTGGCACATAAGATTAAATTTATGAATTTTATTAGAATTAGAAAATGATCACTACAGGGTAGATCAAAGAGAACGGTCCAGTCTAGATTATTGTACAGAGTAGAGCTGCAGAGGAAAATATTGTAAAATGTACCGTAAGTAGAACTGAGGAAGATAGGCTGGTTAGTATTCAGTAGGAGTAAATCAGAGAGTTTTCAATAATTTTACCTCGCGTGTTTGAATCTTGTGAGCCCCATGGTCCTCCAGATTCCGAGACTAGTTCTCTGACACTCACACATTTATACTATTTACATTGGCGTATAATACACATCCGATTGCCCGGGGACGCCGACCTGGGGGAGAGCACTCGCCACTTACTAGGAATAAAAAAAATTTACAATGCGTATGAAAATAATTGACCTATCATATTAATGAAGCAACTGAATTAGAGACATATTAACAGAAATATTACTTACAGGGATTAGAAAAAAAAATTGTTTGGGAGGAAGTTGACGTCATTACCCAGGAGTTCTAATGACGTCACTACCTAGGACCTCCTCCTTGAAGTACAATATTCGGATGAGATAATGTGTCAGAGGAGGGTATCTCTTCAACTAAACCCGGGCCAGTGGAACAATATAACCTGCTTTCCTTAACCTATGAAATTAAAAAAACTCAAAAAAGGATAAGCGGGCTCATGGATGTGAAGAGCCAGATAATATAATCGCATGCAAGCCCCCCCTCCCTCACACCAGTCAATTGTATTGAGTCAATATATCAGTTACTTTCTCCAAAGAAGTAGTTGCCTTCTTTAAAAAATAAGTAAACCGAAGTAAGTTAGTTTTTATGCAACAGCTATAATTATTGGAGTAAACACTCCGATTCTTTATTTGTTTAACGCAGTAATCCTTTGGCTTTTGATTTTATATCTGTAGAACATAAATTTAATGATTATCTGTAAACAATCATTGCACAAAATTTTCTTATCATAAATTGAGCTATGATTCTGTAATAAAAAAGGTTTTTCAGTGTAAAGTTAGGATTTCTATAGAAAGTAAAAAAGGAAACTTACACAATACTGGAACGAACACAGTAGATATTATAAAAGTGGCATGACGTTTTACTGTGAATTGGTATTGCACCGTTACGAGATAAACTGTTCCATTCTTTTTACCAAGTTCCGTCACTTTTCTTGTAGCATTAACACTTTTCAGTTGCCACATCCTATGTGAATAATAATTCTTCATTCCAACAGCCTATGCAAATGTAAAATATTAAAGTAATTATAAAATAATTTAAAAATAACTTAAAACCTTTCATTATGTATTATTGAAATCAATTAAAATGAAGTAATATCCCAATATATATATATATATATATATATATATATATATATATATATATATATATATATATATACACACATTTTAGATTTTTTCAGTGTAATATTTCTATGTCCTATTCAATTATTTCCAAGTCAAATTCAACCTTTTCCAAGTCAAATTCAATCTTTTCCAAATCAAATTAAACTTTTTCCAAGTCTAATTCAACCATTTCCATTTCAAATTAAACCTTTTCCAATTCAAATTCAACCCTTTTCATTTCAAATTAATGTTTTAATTTTTTGTAAATATTAATTTTTTTTTAAATAATGGCCATCCCCTCCCCCCCCCTCCAATATGAAGGTCTATTATTATGCTTTCCTAAGTAGAATTTTCACTTACGGATATCGATTTATTGTACCTATTTGGATTTATTAGAGACTAGTATTATGCTGTCCTGTACCTAGTTTTTAAAATAACCTCCATTTTAAGATTACGTCACTGCGTTTCGACTTATTTAAGTTTTTCGGATTTTTTTCATAAAAGGGTGCATTCTTATGTTTCCGGAGCCGTAGATTTTGAAAACGACCTCCATTTTAGGATTAGGCCACCGCGTTTCGATTTCTTTGAGTGTTTAGAATTTTTTTCATAAAAGGGTGCATTCTTATGTTTCCAGAGCCGTAGATTTTGAAAACGACCTCCATTTTAAGATTAGGCAACCGCGTTTCGATTTCTTTAAGTGTTTCGAATTTATCTAATTTAAAGTTCTACTTATATGATGCCGATGCCTTACTTTTTTTTAAAATCTAAAATGAAGCCTAATTAATTAATCGAGATGCAGCGTTTTAATCATAAAATGGAGATTAAATATTAGATAAATTTTAATATTAAAGATTAGAAAATTTTCAAAACGTCTCCGATAACATATAAGTAGATCCTTATACCGGAAAAGTAAAAAAAAACTTTTATAATCGAAAACACAGTGGCATAAACTTAAAATGGAGTCATTTTAAAAATCTACTGCTCCAGAAACATAAAAGTAGACCTTTAAATTAAATAAATTCGAAAAACTTAAATAAGTCAAAATGCAATCGTGTAATCATGAAATGGAGGTAATTTTCAAAATCTACGGCGCTGGAAAAATAAAAGTAAACCTTTACATTGGATAAATTCGAAAATCTTAATTAAGTTATAACACAGCGGCATAATCATAAAATGGAGTACATTTTCCAAATCTACAGCTCCAGAAACATAAGAATACACCCTTACATCTAATAAATCAAAAAAACTTAAATAAGTCGAAACGCAGTGGCGTAATATTAAAATGGAGATTATTTTCAAAATCTACGACTCCGGAAACATAAGAATACACTCTTTTATGATAAAAATTCGAAACACTTAAAGGAATCGAAACGCGGTGGCCTAATCTTAAAATGAAGGTCGTTTTCAAAATCTACGGCTCCGGAAACATAAGAATACACCCTTTTATGAAGAAAATCCGAAAAACTTAAATAAGTCGAAACGCAGTGGCGTAATCTTAAAATGGAGGTCATTTTCAAAATCTACGACTCCGGAAACATAAGAATACGACCTTTTATGAAAACAATTCAAAACAACTAAAGAAATCAAAACGCAGTGGCCTAATCTTAAAATGGAGGTTGTTTTCAAAATCTACGGCTCTGGAAACATAAGAATGCACCCTTGTATCGAATAAATCAAAAACACTTAAATAAGTCGAAACGCAGTGGGGTAATCTTAAAATGGAGGTTATTTTAAAAACTAGGTACAGGACAGCATAATACTAGTCTATAATAAATCCGAATAAGTACAATAAATCGATGTCCGTAAGTGAAAATTCTATTTAGGAGAGCATAATAATAGACCTTTATATTGGTGGGGGAGGGAGGGGATGGCCATTATTTAAAAAAAAATTAATATTTACAAAAAATTAAAACATTAATTTGAAATGAAAAGGGTTGAATTTGAATTGGAAAAAGTTTAATTTGAAATTGAAATGGTTGAATTAGACTTGGAAAAAGTTTAATTTGATTTGGAAAAGGTTGAATTTGACTTGGAAAAGGTTGAATTTGCACAATATTACTCAATTCTTCTTCGGTGCATACTATATATTTTCAAGTTAATTTATTATTAGCCATATTTACACCAATTTAAAAAAAAATTTAAATTTTTAAATTAGGTTGCATTTGACTTGGAAATAATTGAATAGGACATAGAAATATTACACTGAAAAAATCTAAAATGTTAAAATAAATGCATATGCAACCGCTTAATCAATTTTTTTTTCTGTATTTTTCAAAAGCTATCCCTTCAATAATATAGTAAGTGGCTTTCATTTCGAAAAAAATACAAAAATTGACAAAAATTCGAAAGTTGAATTTGAAACGGAAAAGGTTGAATTTGACTCGGAAAAGGTTTAATTTGATTTGGAAAAGGTTGAAATTGACTTGGAAATGCTATATATATATATATATATATATATAATAGGTCATGTTTTCGATTCCTGTTTTTTAACATAAATATTGGGATCCTCTTCAGTTCTGGAAAAACAATACCTATCATTGGTGTATCAATAAAAAGTTTTCATGCATTTTAACATTAATGTTAACAATAATAACTATTATCGGACTATAATTCATATCTTAAATTATAATATATAACTTATATATATCTATATAAAATGAAGGGTGCCACCTAAGAAATTTTGTTAATTTCCTTAAATTTTATTTAAAAAACGTTACAGTAATCCAGCAAATGGAGTTAGAAAAAGAAATAGTACCTTGCAAAAGATCGTGTAATAAAAAGATAAAACTATTAAAAAATGATACGCGTATTTTTATTTTATTGGTATCTTATTATTATTTATTATCATTATCATTATAATTTATTATTATTACTTTATTTATTTAATTGTATTTTTTTAAACTATCTATATTTATTTCTTTTCTGTATGTTTGTATTGTAAGAATGAACACTTGTAGTATCAATACTTGTTGCCTTTCAATGTGGCAGAATGCATTGCAATTCAACAAACTTGTTATACAATTAACGTTTCCCATCAAGTCATTTTAGAAATTGGGTTTTATTATTAACCAAAAATTGTATTATTTCAAATACTGATAAAATAATTATGGTTTGTATGAAAAAAAAAGATCAAGATAAATGCCTCAGATCCTCTTAATTTATTTAGTTACTTTATATTACTTTCCTTCCATCAAAATATAGACGTTGTAGTGGCACCTCTTATTTTTACCGTGTCTAGAGCTCCTTAATAAGCAACCACAAGGAGTCTCTGTCTCGCTACTATCTAGTAGCGGACTCCATAGATCCTTGCCTCTCCAGACATAGTCAATCCACCGAGGCTAGCAGACAGCAATTCCCTCTGCTCCTTATTTATCCTCGTTCATGACCTGCCCACTTTAATCTGGCTCGCTACACAATCGATAATATGTGGCTAACCATAGAGATCTTAAACCTCCTGGTCGGTCCCCCTACTCCATCTTCCATTTAAAATGACGGGTCCAAATATTCGCCGCAAAATCTTACTCTCAAACAGCCAAACGTTTTTATACATAAGTTACTGCACCATATGTGAGGATTAGGCTATTTTTCTTGTTTATTTTGGCTGCTATGATCGCCCTATGAAGTGATATTTTCCTGCAAATTAGTTGCTAACTTTTAGGAAATTCATCTTAAATACCGAAAATGGTTAAGAAAATAATGTTTTGTTCAATTACATTTGATAAACTTGGATTTTATGGAAAAACAAATGGGTTTTCTTTTATAATACTTCAAGATAACATATCTCGACAACAGGTTCAGATAGAAAGGTGCTGATAACAACATTGGTAGACTAATGTTCTATTACTCCTTCTATTACTGACATGCTGCTCTTGGAAACCCCGTTTGTTTCGCTGTTGACTTCGGAATTCGTTTTTTCCTTTGATTCTCGATCAGATAACAGGGTAGAGGAGTACGTGAAACTTGTGTAGCTCTCCTGGCTGGTTTGCAATTAGATACGTTTTCGTCAATTTTAATATTATTTTAATATTTGTGTCATCGGTTAGTTTATTTTGTTTTTAATAGCTTCATAACACATACAAGGTCTTCTGCGAGCCCTTATTTACAGTTATAGCAACACAGCTTGCATTTAGATCATTTAGCAATATTTGATAATTATTTTTATCATACAGAAATGGTATTTTTGATTTATAGGTTTTTTAAATGTTATTGCTGTTACTGTTGTACAGTTTTTTTTGTTTAAATGTTGAATAAATAATATCTGAAAAGTCAAGTTCACTTATTAATTGAAATATATTGCGTAAGTTTATTAAATTAAACCTTTTCCAATTCAAATTCAACCCTTTTCATTTCAAATTAATGTTTTAATTTTTTGTAAATATTAATTTTTTTTAAATAATGGCCATCCCCTCCCCCCCTCCAATATGAAAGTCTATTATTATGCTTTCCTAAGTAGAATTTTCACTTATGGATATCGATTTATTGTACCTATTCGGATTTATTAGAGACTAGTATTATGCTGTCCTTATTTACAGTTATAGCAATACAGCTTGCATTTAGATCATTTAGCAATATTTGATAATTGTTTTTATCATGCAGAAATGGTATTTTTGTTTTATAGGTTTTTTAAATTTTATTGCTGTTACTGTTGTACAGTTTTTTTGTTTAAATGTTGAATAAATAATATTTGAAAAGTCAAGTTCACTTATTAATTGAAATATATTGCGTAAGTTTATAGATTGAATGCCTTGGAAATATTTGCCGATCCAATTTAACTGAGAATCGATTTGGTGTGAAGCCATCTTAATTATTTTTCTTTAAACTGGAGTATTAGTATAGGCTCATTTACCATTTGATCAGTGAATACGAAATCCAGAAAGGAACCAGTGTAAGACCTGGAACCGAGCAGTGCGGTACATGTGTGTTCATCATTAGGCCAGTATGTGAGATCCATAGAACAGTAAGCCGTAAAATCTGACATCAGCACGATGTACACCCTTCCATTTGAGCGCACAACAGCAGGGTTAGATTCTGTGTCCAGGTCTAAATCTAATCTAAAAAAAAGTTAAATAAAAAATAAATTGATCAAGACAAGACCAGAGAAATAAAATCTAAAATAATATAAGAAGTATGTAAAGGAATGAAATGGATATTTATTTATCTTCGGACCATAGCACGTGGTACTTCCTATTTTTTTCGCTTAATGTTTCAGTTACATTATCAACAGCAGGAACTCCAACTTCGATGATAATGGCTTTCTTTATTTGGAGTTTAAGAATATAACGAAACATAATAAATAATAATTGTATGAACATCTATTATTAGTTTTTAAGAAATAAACCCATTAAATTAACACGGTGGCGGATTAACGCACAGGCAGACTAGGCACATGCCTAGGACGAGAATATTTGGGGAGCAGTTAAAGATTAATAAAATTATATGGTTAGGTTCATTATATTCTGCTGAAACCACTTACTAATCCGATCGGCGAACATTCCTTTGAACCTATTCGGAGAAAACAGCCCAAATCAAGGATGGATTTTATCCTTGAAGGTGAAACAGGCCAAACAAGAACCGTCCTATTATTTTCACCAATACTAAAAAAAAAATATAATAGTCCTAGTTAAGTCAATTTGTAAAATCAAAACATTGAAAACCATACTCTATGCAGGAGAAGCAAGTTTCTTAGTTAAGTTTATGCCTACTATTTTAAACATTGTGCATCACTGTCAATGGAACGTATTTGTTTAAATAACTGAGTCATAATGGTCCGGCGATTTTGTTCATTATTTAGTTTTAAAATGATAATATTGGCTTTTACAGTAATTACATTTGAAAAATGATTTGCTTACTTGTTATATACGGTTAGGTCAGGAACCCATAGCAAATTAGGAGGTACGTGTAAGTAATCAATATTGTCATAATCTTTACGATTCCAAGCAAGATTCATATCCATCCATGTCTGAAAGAATTGCATGTGTCAATTATACTTGAACTCATTATGTAAAAAAAAAAAAAAAAAAAAAAAAATTGAAATCATGTCATACCAAATACATTTATACCAAAACACAAGCATTCATAATAATAAAAAATGGAATTATGCTTACCATATAGATCCAAGTATCGACATAAAGTGAATTTCTTTCTTCTTCCTAATCATTAAAATAAAAGATCTATTAAGTTATTTTTGCAAGATTAGTAATATTATATTATATCATTATTTTAACTATAGGTATTTATGTAACCCCAACATCCTCACACGCAAGCACACATAAACGAACGCACACACATATATAAAGCATTTGCTAAAACATCAGTTAACCTCTCAGTTTCAGAAAACTAAATTAAACCCACATATAAGCTTATTCTTTCATTTAATAGAGAAAAAATATTTTTTAAAACTTGTTCTTGCAAATGGAATGAAATCAGAAGAATTAAAGAAAGAATACAAATTGTGGCCAAATTTAAATTTGTTTTCGTAGGATGGAACAATGATTTTTTTATTTAAGGATTTCCTTACTTTTCACAAAATTGACATAAATGGCACTTATATTTATGAATGGCAATATTGAATTGATAAGCTGTAGGATCCGCGAAGAGTGCTAAACACTGCTTCAATGCTATAATATCAGTCATCTATCTCACTCATAAAGCTTCGGATAACTACAATAACTTCCTCTAATCCACTGCGATCAAACTGGCCAGTCTCTCTCCCAGTCCCTTTTATCTATTTATATTAGTGATCTTCCTGACGCCATTCAACACTCCTATTACCATCTATATGGCGATGATTTCCAAACATAACAATCATTCTAACCTTTTTAGCTTACTGGGGCTACAAGAAGATATCGACTGAATCAACAGATTGGCACAAATGAATGAGTTAAAGCTGAATGCAGACAAAACTAAGGCTATTTTCATCGGGTCCAGACATCTCATCAGTACCTTTCCTTACTTTTCTCTACTTTACCTCAATAACCTTTTGGGACTCTTTACCTACCTCCATACGTCAATTCTCTTCCACAAATTCAAACATGTAAAATTCTTTCTTCAGTACACAGTATAATTCGATAAACTTGACAATTGCAATTAACAGTCAATTAGGCAGTAATTAATTATATTGTATATTCTAAAACAGGCTAATTTTCATTATTATGTAACTCTGTTATTATTCTTAGGGGACTGTAGTTCAGAATAAAATTCTTTTTTCATTTCATGTTCTACAGTGATAAAAAGTAAAAGTTTGAAACGAAAAATGTCCAACCTATTTCCCTCTCCGCTGATAATAGGTCATCTAGAAATCTTATCCAGAACACATGGTGGTTCTAATCTAATCGGATCTTCTCCGATGCTTATAAAAGTACAAGAAAATGATGGAAAAACTGAAGAAACGTTTTAATAATAAATTTATTAACAGAGATAATCCTTTTTATATATTAGCATTATTATTTGCGAGTAACATTGATGAATTGCTAAAGGCTCGGTCAAACAGGAGGCGAACTGTCTGCGTTGTCCACCCGTCCTCCGTGGACTTTGTATAACGCACAGATGGTAGAGTATGGTGAAATAAAAAGTGGTCTACCGAACTGGACCGGTTTAGTTCTCAGCGGACTGGGAACTGTTTTTGGTTTATCCACAGAGATGGGATAATTTTTTATTTTATTTTTTGCGATGCTTGTTAGCAGTAAGCATGTTATAAATTATAATAACTATTTGTGAATAATAAATTATAGAGTATAAATTAATTAATTAAGCTATGCGAAACTACATAGTATATACTCTTGACAGCGACTGTTTTCAGACTTGTTCGTCTCAACTTACTGAAAGTTCGTCTTCACACGTCCGTGCGGACTGTTCGCCTCTTGTTTGGTTCATCCTCAAGATGATTTATACATAGTTAAGATATTTATGTGAATGTGAGTGTGTGTCTGTTTGTTTGAGGATAGTATTACATAAGTACATACATACATAGATTTGCACAATGGAACTTACAAAATCAATATGTCTTGGATAAAGAGTAAGAGTAACCAAGGTTTTATTTCCTTGATGCCGGACTGGACGCAGATAGGGATCATAGCTGCAGAAGATGTCATCCTTCAACTTGCTAAGCGTGGTGCGTTCTACATTACAGCTTCCCCGGCAAACTGACAATAATAAGGTTGATAACTTAGTGTTGTATTGTAGAAAAAAAAACATAAACATAAGGAGACAAATTTGATAATCTATAATTGAACTTTCAATTTTATATAAACTCACAGTGACATGACTAGGATTTTTTAGGAGATGCTAACCTAAATTTGCCACCCCTTTCATCACCTCAACCTAAAAATACAATTTTAACCAAATTTGCCGTCCTATAAATGCTGCCACTTGTGGCAATGACCTTTTGTCCCTCTCTAGTACCGGGTGTGCTGTTAAGCCAGTTATGATGCTTTCAATGAGGTCGTTAAAGTAATTAAATAGCATATATCAAGCACATGCTATGTACTTATATTACGTTAATATGATCTGTTATGTGCTCATTTTAAGTATTAAAAGATAATAGTTATGTCGTACTACCTTCTTTTTTTTTTTTTCAATTTGTCACATGGACGTTGATTATAGGAGAAGTAAGATAACATTCACACAATATGTACAAAACATATATAAAATAAATAGAAGGAGAATAACAAAAGAATAACCAAAAAGTATGTACAATAAATAAAATAACTTATAAAAAAACACATACATACCTATTTACGTTATTTACAATCAGGCGAGGGAACTCCGTGGCAGGCTTGTCCATCCAACTATGGAGGGAAAAGCAGGACTCCAGGAGATCCCTGCGCTACTCTCTCAACGGCTTCACTGGTACTAAAGCCAGTGGAGATTGATCGAGAGCGGTTTAGCCATATACACTCATGTATTGAGCGGAGAATTTGAGCATTGGCAGAACTCTAATTTATATGAACTACAAAAGGTCCACTGCCGTTTTAACCTTCTTGGAGGATTATAGGAATGAGTAGTGTTTGATAGGGATTGTGCAAGAGAATTTGGATGATATGTAAGGATCTGGTGAAATTTGGAGAATTTTTCTGGGATAAGGTCTAGAACAACTGAGATGTTGAGGTCATGGTGTAGGGTTTTGTTGTTACATAGAAAGGAGCATCGATTATTGCTCGAAGAAATTTGGACTGAAAGGATTAGATTTAAAGGATTAGTCCAAACAGGTTTCAGTATTGTCTTATAGATCAGTAATTTGTTTTAATAGAAAGTTTAGAGCTTTCTATTTAGTAGTATGTATAGTTGGCAGTATCGTCGGTTAAGTCTAGTTCTGAATGAGGAGTGAATATACTGGAGAAGTGTCTGGCGAATTCTTCAGCTTTCTCTTCATCAGACACTGGGCAGGAGCCATCGCATCGACGAAGGAGGTGGGAAATATGATGGAATTTTAGGATTTTTTTTATGGTTTTCCAGAGGAAATTGTCATGAACAGAGATGGAAGTAAGGTAGGAATTAAATGATTGGGATTTGAAGGATGATCATTTTTGCTTTAATAGTTTACAGTAATAATTGTAGGAGCGGCGATCGGTGGTATGTCTGGCACGTTACTATAAAATTCTGGCACGGCGTTTGGTGTGGATTAGGTCTATGAGGGGTTGGGTAAATTATTTTTGTTAGGTTTTCTTGAAGAATGATTCGGAGAGGAAACAGTCTATACTGCTTGTTGAATGGTGGTGGTGAAGGAATGCATGGCATTGTCTAGGTCTTCTGGGATTTTAAAGGTTACTCTTTATATATTATTCTTATATATCAGGGCAAGGATACTCAGAAAATGACCTATGTTACGTATCACTAGATTTGATAGACACTGTATGTGGCTTTAAAGTACAAAATGAAATATATTCGGATCACATGCCGATGGTACTGTATCTAGACCTATACACACAACAGTTAAACCAACATTTATTACCGCTATAGCCGAAAATCCCATGGACCAAACAGGATGCACATTTCTTTAAAAATAAATTGCAACAAAAGGTTTCATCTCAGGATCAAATACCTCAAACAAACATGAATTTAGTTAAAATGATCAAATATTGTGTTTTTGGAGAGAAAAACAATTTCAATCGACATTATTATATTTTAAAAAATAAATGGTTTTGTCCAGGTATGGGTGCAGAGAGTATGCAGTTACCAGAAGGCCTCGACAGATCGTTGCTCAATTTAGGGGTAAGATGACTGATTGGTTGAAGGAAGATGAATTAGAAGGACGACCTTAAGTGACAGGCGGATCAGCACCCAATCACTCTCAGTCTGCGGTGTAAGAGATCAAGCTCAACACTCCGCAAGGATGGTAACCACAACCGGAGGGATCAAACTCCGGATTTGTGGGAGGATGAGATACTAACGGAGGGATCAATCTCCTGACTCAGTATATAGGAATACAAGCGGAAGGACTTGCAACCAGGCTTCTATAGAGAGAGAATAAGAAAATGGTTTTGGACAATTCTTAAAAAAATTTGAGGCATTAATAAGAAGAGTATATAAATCACGCACTATTAAGTAGGTGACTGATAATCCTAAAGCCATAAGTGCTAGGAGATCATTCTTTCATGCGAAAGATGGGTAACGAAAGACGTGCCCGATTATTCTGGTCTTATTTTTTTATCAGTTAATTTATATACCTTCATCTTTATTTAGTAAAATTAACATACTTTTATAATACATACTTTTACAATGATAGAAATATACATTTTAAAAAGTTAATTATACAAAAAATAAAATATAAAAATCATCTTGTGATGTGAGCGTCTTGTGGTGGCACAGTCTCGTAGCGGGCGCATGCACTACGTGCAAGGCTCATCATTCCGCACTACATCTACAAAGGCTCTGGAAATCTTATTGTCATTGACTCCGCTACACCTATGGATAATAGGGGAGGCGGCTATGGAATTTTTAAGAATGAAGGATAATAGACAGCGAGAAATCGCCTACTCAATGTTCCGAAGGAGCATCGGTTGGAAGCCGTTCCTAGCGTCAAGCCTTAACCAGCCTCCAACCTAAACCCCCGTCCCAGGTAAGACCAAGAGTATGCGGGCACACAACCGGCGCCCACGGAACGGACATTTTTCTACTACCATAACTTCCGTCCACTCGTCCGCACACTATAGCAGATGACTAGCCTGAACAACGTCAAGACTAGCTGAACACTGGTTTCGTGCAGCGAGTAGTCGTAAACACAACGACCACTACGACCGCCACGGCCGAACAGTGCATGCACTCTCGCTGTCCACCCAAAGCGCCGCCAGGGCTCCGGCGACGCCCCGTATTACCAATTCGATCGGGAAGCACTGCTTCCCTGACCTCAGAGCACGATTGGCCTCAGGCTCCGCAATCTTACGATCGCTACGGCTTTACATTGACTGCCGATGTACAGGAGGATGCCTGCACCGCCGCAGTCGATGAGGGACACGACTCAAACCAAAGGGTTCGAGACGATGACCGTCCCCGGAAGGATAATAGACAGTGGAAATTACCAGGGACACACACCGGCCACTTAAGGTGCCAAGAAGGTGGAAAAAGAGTTACCTATCTTACGGTACCTCTCTCCGCCGCTTGATAAAAACCTTACTTTCGACAGTAAGGTTAGCTACCTGTACCCTACCATATTAGACTGAGCACAGGGTTCAGTAGAAACTCAAAAGGATTACCTGCCCTGTTTTACTGATAGTTCAAGGAAAGACTCAACTAGTTTAACCGGCGTCTATATAGAGAACCTAAATATAAAACTAAGCATACCACTAGGTAAACATGCTACAGTATTTCAAGCAGAGTCGTTTGCTATATTTTCTGCAGACACCTGTTCAGAAGTTACCAATTGCGAGAATGCTGGCATCACTATATATTCGGATAGTCAGTCGGCACTACAAGCATTGGAGTCTCCCAATGTGACCTCCACACTAGTGCAGGAGTGTAAAAAGGCGTTTGAGACACTGGCCTGCTCCAAGAGGGTATAACTAGTGTGGGTCCCAGGTCACAAGGGAATTAAAGGCAATGATTAAGCCGATGTCCTTTCAAGGAAAGGAGCAGAATTTCCTATTGTAGGCTCGGAACCTGCAATAGGAATATCCAAAAAGCATCAGTGGAAAGAAGTCCTTGATTAGACTTGGAAAAAAGCAGGTAAAGAATGGAGGGGATGGGCGGGTCTGAGACAAGCAAAGCAATTTATTAAAAGCCCCTCTCCTTCCAAAATAAAGTGCCTGCTGGGCCTAACTAGGAAAGAGATCCGACTCATCATCGGAATACTAACAGGCCACTGCAGACTTAAAAGACATTTAAAGATCTGTAGGATAGTGGATGATGAACTCTTTAATCTCTGCAGAAGTGCACCTGAAACTGCCCTTCACTTCATAACGGAATGTGACCGATTTGCGTCACTCAGATACAGACTTCCAAGTATGAAAAGCTGCCTCCATTAAATGGCCCAACCTTTTGAACTTCATTAGAAGAACAAAAAGGTTTAAGACAGAGTAGAGGAACAATAGACATCCACTGGCAGTATCAATTTTTGGGGTTGGCAAAAAAAAAGGACCAGTAGGCCCACTTGCTGGACTAAGTCCCCCCACAAGTACCAGTAGGGACCCAAAACATTTTTGGGAACTTGCAAATACTCTGAAATGTTTTAAATTTGTAAGCGGGAACAATATAACACCAGAACAATGGATTAATCACTTAGTAAGACTTCTTAACGCTGAAAGGAAACCATTGGAAATTAATTATGTTTCTAATATAATTACTAGCGAATATTTAGATAAATCATTTGAATTGTCAGAGTTAAAACAAGCACTGCAAAAAGCGAAATGTGGCGAAGCACCTGGTATTGACATCATTACATACTAATTTTATAAATATAGTTCAGATAAATACCTTGAAGAATTAATATCATTGTATATTAATACAAATGAATCTGCAGATATACCAGAATGCTTCCAGATATCTATAATTTTCCCACTGTTTAAGAAAAACGAAATAAATATTGCACAAAATTATAGAGGAATTTCATTTTTAAATACAATATCAAAATTATTCACTGCATTGTTACTTCAAAGAATAACAAGATGGTCAAATACTAATAATATATTGTGTCAGAATCAAGCTGGCTTCAGAAATGGATATAGTATGGTCTAATGCCCTGTCTCACACCCCTGTATCTCCTTTCACCAATGCTATTCAGTTTACTTTTAATGATTTCTCAAAGTGTATGGGAAGGGGTTTGACATTGGAGGGAGAATCGATAAACTGTCTTATGTTCGCAGATGACATAGTATTACTTGCCAATGACCCATAAACAATGCAACAAACGGTTAATAAAGTATAAAGCTATTGTGATATATGGGAACTAAATGTTAATTTAGAAAAATCTAAAATAATGGTTTTCTGGAAAGGTGGTAAACTATCAAAAAAAGAAACTTGGAATTACAAACACACAAAAATTGAAATAGTCTATAAATAGCCTATACATATCTTGTATTTAAGATAATTCCGCAATTATCCATACAAGAGCATTTGGTAGAAAATATCGGACTTGGAAAATTTAGTGTTTTAAGAACAAGGAAAAAACTACTAAATAACAATAATATTCCGCTTAATTCTAAATACAATATGTATAATTCAATATCTAGAGCTATTGTATGTTACTCGGCAGAAACATGGGGTTTTGAGTTCCCAAAATAAAATAGAAAGATTTCAAAAGTTTTTCTTAAAAAGGCTGTTTTCACTTCCATACAACTGCCCGGACTATGTGTTGTATTTAAGGACAGATGAACACATTGATGAAATCAACCGCTAACACATTTTACATACAGACTACATCCACGATACATAAATACAATTCTAACGTTCTCAAACAATCGCTTTCCGAAAGTAATAGCTGAATATATAATCAAAGATAATTTATTTTAGCATAGAGAAAATATATATATTTACCTAAAATTAACCGGCAAAATCACTTTAATTTACAGCTATCAATAAATATCTGAACTATTAGTGGCAATGCAAAATGATTTCAGACAAAAAATTATAAATTAAGTAGGTTCTGCAAAATTTCATCATATTTATTAAGAATTAAATTTCCAACTCGATGATACACATTATATTAACAACCACCGAAAATAATATTTTATGAATAATTAGACTCCTGTAAAGTTACAAACATTTTTTTTGTAAGCCTTTAGTAAGGCATATTGTTATAATGTAATTTATTTTGTAATCGAAATAAAACACACTATTATTATTATCTTTATTATTCTCGCTTTTGCGGATATAAAGCTGAAGGTGGGGGACAAGTCTAACCACCTGCAGTTATATATATATATATTTTTTTTTTATATTTAAAATTTTTCTAGTGATTCTGGCTGTATCCAAGAGAACCGCTTGCTGAGCCTCTCTTAACACATTCAGGGGTAATTCCAAGCCATTGGTTGATATTATTATTGGTGTAACCAATACGCTTTCCAAATGGCACAACTCCTTTAATTCGATCCCCAGTTCTTTCTACTTACGGAGCTTCTCTCCCACGGTTGTTTATATTGTTATCGTTATTATTATTATTATTATTGAGATTATTCTGAAGTCAATTTTATCGGAAAGGAATTAATGAAATGTTTTCAGTTAACTAGGCCTCTGATGAACGGCAGTAGAGAAGGTTTAGAAATCGAAACTAAAGATAATTGGAGTATTAATGGACTATGATCTGAGAAAAGTTCATCAAAATGGGTAAGGGAATGATTGATGGGACCTAAACCACTGTGGTTAAAAAAATCGAGAATATCAGGATTGCGGTTGGGATCAGTGGGAAAATATGTCGGCGAGTTGGATGGAAGGAGGCTGAAACGTTGGAAATTGAGTACAGACACCAATGTTCTACCACGAGAGTTCGTGGATCTTGAACCCCATTCTTGATGCTTGACAATTAAGTCTGCATCCAGGATGAAGTGATGTCCTAAGGAGTAAACTAGATATTGCATATGGATCTGTTAGAAGGCATTATGCTGATGCTAGGATGATAGGAAAGGATAAAGTTTTGATTTCAATGGCGGTGGATTGTAGGAAATCTTGAGTAGGCAATTAGGTGATCTCTGGTGATGAGAGAGGAATTGGTGTACAATTACAGCAGTACCGCCATGTGCTCTACCGTCAGGGATGGCAGTACGTTATATAATGTACTGTAGTATTTTTAAAAGTAGTTTTCTGGTCAGTCGAGTTTCCGTAGTTAGTGCTTCGTCGACGTTCTTGTCCAGCAGTAGAGTTGTTAGTTCGTCAACTTGACTTCTAACACCATTTGCATTCCAAAGGAGAATGGATACGGGTTCCGTGATGTAAGTCATTTAAGGATTTTTGAAGGGAGGGATGATTTTATATACGAGATTTGTAAGGAGTGATATGAATGGGGTAACAAGGGATTTAAATATTTAAAGTGAGTGAGAAAATATGGTGAGATCTGTGACATTTGGAGGAGGAGGAATATGAGGAATTTGATGATGGTGAGGTTGTTTATTGTTAGGTATAAGTGAGTTTATTGTTAGGTATAAGATGGATAGGATCTTGAGGATAGGGTTGAGGTTGTTGTTGCGGCAGGGCTTTACATTTATCAGTTTGGTTCTTACCTCCAAGTAGTTGGGAGAATGATAAACTAGCGTATCATTAACTATTCTAGAAAGTTCTCTTCTTGGTCTAGTTGTCATTATAAATCTCTATTATATAAAATATTCAAATCCTACAAGAAATTAAAATGCTTAAAACTATTCAATAGAATCAATAATAAAGTGTATATACCTCAAGTACTAAATACAATCAACATTTTTCAATAAATAAATAAATACATAAATTAAAATTCTCAGCCTACCCATGCAGATGGTGGTAAATGATTCCGAGGGAGTCGAGAACTATCTTTTCAGACAACCTCACTACGTCTTTAATTTAATGTCGCCACCTAGTAAATCGAGGAAACCCTTTATTCTTTTTGGAATCGTTTCGCGAGACCCAAACCAGAGGCCTCTCACGGTGTACTCTCTCTCCCCGAAGATCTCAAGGAACTTCTCTTTTAGGAAAGGGATATATTTATCATATGTGTTCTTCTTTTCTCTTTCCACTTCACTCGGCTGATCGAGGTCATTGCTCTCGTAGACACTTGAATCCATGATCAGCAGCACTGTCTTGGGAAATGCGATAATATCCTTATCTCTTATAGAGCCTTCACTGTCGATGCAATAGACCTCGTCTAATCAGGTGATTCCTTTTCTCTAAGGAGCCTCATCAACTCCAACTTGACCCTATGGTGCCGACGTGTTATGAACACACAGTACATTCTAAATGCGAAAATAAAATAATTGTAATAAAAAAAAATATTTAAATCTATTTTATTCAAATCTAATTTATTCCGACAACCTAAACTATTATGACACTTTGAATTGCACATGAACCTCTTTTACAACTGCATTTATTTGTGGAGCACATCATTTTGCAATAACATCGTGTATAGCCTTGACCCTCACTTCTCGAATTAGCTGCAGCTGTTTTTCTCGGCGACATTTCTTGAAAAGAAATCTCATCAATGGAAAGTATCTTTTTTTTACAAATTACGAACTGATTACGTGTGTAAAGCTACTTGAGGATACCGTTTTCATTTGCCAGTTTATAGAAGTTGGAATCTTCTATTCCAACAACATCCGCTAATACATTTCGGCTATCTGTAAGACCACTGTCGACGTCACAGACTTGCATTCGTACATTATCACCAATTTGAGCAGGAGGAAATTGTTTTTGTGTGGTTCGTAACATTTTTGTTGCTTGCAGTAGAAGATTCTCTTTGGCGGCCGCTCTTTTTATAGAAATTAACTCGTGTTTTTCTGTCAGAACTTGGTATGAAGACGTTGTAGATTGCAGGTCCCCTTAGGATGTGGTTTTCGGTATGACCACCGCTCAATTTTTTTAAAAAAATATTAACAGTTTCTTCAAGTTATTCTTCGGTTTCAATATTTACGATTTGTTCGCTAGGCAAAAAAGATGATGCTATGCCTCTTTTGGCTTTAAGGCCAAACATGGCTTCATAAGGACTTTGGCGTATTTCTTCGTGGTATGTAGTGTTCTTGGCAAATTGAACAAACGGTAAACCATCTGACCATTCATTTATATCGTTATCGTTCATCCATGCAGTTAGCATATTCTGTTTATGCTGATTGCCCCTTTCAACTGAGCCTTGTTTTTGACTGTGACTAGGCTTTTCATGAACTATCACATCTTTCCACATAACGCATATTTCGAATATGACTTGATTACTGAATTCTCTACCATTATCTGATTGCAATATTGCTGGTGCACTAAATGTTAAAAATATTGAAAGACCGTGATACGTCACAGAAATGTAGCTTAGAAGTAGAGCTGAGGAATCAGCTCTTTTAGTTTTCAAAAGTCGTTGCTGGAAAAATTTAGTTAAATGATCTTGATACACAATTATGGACTTATATTCGCCATCTCTGTTCGACTGCAGATCTATTAGATTAAATTGATATCTTGAGTTAAACTCAGAACTGATCATTGGTTTCACAACAATTCCTTTCTTATCTGCTCTGTGTTTCATTCGACACTGTTTTCATAAATTCAAACACTATATAACAACTTCATATGTAATATTTTTGTATTTAACTTACAACTCTTTAAGCATACCTGTTCATCCTCCGTGGCCTATCCTGGTGTGAGTTTCATATAGTATACTGAACAATTCTTCATTGTTAACATAATATTGTATATTCGTTTCCCCTGGTTTTATTGGTACAATTAACTTCCCTTCATTATTAATTTTTAAAACGTTTTAATTGTCTGTAATCCAAAGGTGAGTTGCACTTAGTTTTAGCAGAAACCACTTCAGAAAGTACTTTTCTTGAAAAAAATAAAAACAATTTTCTTCTCGTTTACCCGCAATTAATGCATTCAACTTTTCAAGAAAAAGGTTACGATTTACTGCAGCATCCTTTCAGTATAAATTACGGTATCGGGAAAAAAAATTAAGAAAACGTTTCTCGCGTCATCAAAGCTTGCATAAGATTGACTGACTCCAGCAGAACAAAGGATTTGACAGGAGAAAGCCAGTCGCCTCCTTGTCGGCTACTCTCTTTTGGACCTTAACCAGAGCATATCTGTGATTATCGACATTCACCGCCGAGGGTCAGAATATACAAGAATGTAATGAAATATTCCATCTTTCACCGACGTATTTGGTAATGTTGACATTCACTGGTGAAAGTCGACATTCTTCAATTTCGGTCTTTCACTGTAACATATATATATGTATATATATATATAACATATGTATGAAATCGTTCTGTGATCTGATGAATTTTCATTATCCATTACTTATCAGTCTTGAAGAAACTTGAATATAGATTGATAACAGAGGGTTAAATTAATATTACTTACTCCCACAGCAGATGAGAATGTCGGTAAGTTTCGGATTTTGTTTATGATAAATAATTTTCAACCAGTAATCAGGGCTTCTAATGTTTTCCCTCGTTTATTGGTTAATTTATCAAAGCATAATTTTGATCTCAAATTAGAGTCAACAGCCACAAGGTTTTTTTTTTTTGTCTTTAAACCTTTGTAAAATGTGTTCAAGTTTCTTGAAATCTTCCTCTACTTCTACATTTATGCACTTATTGCGATATATTCAGTTTTTTCCCATATTAGTTGTACTTTCCTTTTTTTTTTTACATATGAGTTGTACTACCATCCATACCATGAGTTATTCATGGTTAGAACTTAAAATGGATACTCTAGGGTTCCCATTGCCTCCTTGGAATACTCAATAACTTATCAGAAAGCCAGATGTTTTATTGAGTCTGAAATAAGGTTCCCGTTTTAAAATTAAATCAAATTTATGCCGATGAATAGTACCTAACAAGTTCCAGGAGGTGGTTTTTGAATGATATAGGCTGATTTGTGCTAATTTTAATTTTTTGTTGTGCCTAAACATTTGTTTTAATGAATCGTATTCCGAGATTAATCTTATCTCTGATCATATTGGGCTTGTTATCCAATACAATGTAAAAGTTATTGCTTCTCAAATAAAATATAACGTTGCCATTATTACCATTTTTTAATATACAGAATATAGTTATGTTAGTGTTATTGCGAACGTACGGTTTATAAGTCATTGTCAGTATTGTTGATAATTTTGTCATTGGCCGCCTTAAAAGAAGGACAGTTTTTGGACATGGACGAATGCTTGGCGATTACTTGTCTCTTATTGTTTACTCTACTATTATAACTTACGCGATTGATACAGTTGTGGACCTCAGATTGGTATTCTCTCAGGCTGTGAGACCCCGCTCAGAGCGGGAAGGTAGACTGGACGGCTTTGCAGAACTTCTTGGTATGCCCTAATTAGTCTGGAGCAGACAAAGCACCTCGGGGCCGAGTGGTAGTCCTCCATGTCACCTGGTCCAAGAAGGCTCTCCCAGCGAGCATCTTCCTCACCTTGGGAGTTATTTCCACAACTACATGCCTCCAAGTTCTAATCGGTAGTCTTCCGTCTTTTTTTTTTAGCTGTATGTCTTGCTCTTGTAATCGGTATTGTTCTGTTTTGACTGGAACTATTTCTTCTTTCTTAATTTCTTCTGGAATGTTTTTTTTATAATTGCTATCGGCTGATCTTTCTTTATAGCTTTCACCCTTAAGGTCGTCCCATGCTTACTACTAATTTCGTCCGTAATCAGTTTGAGATCGGACTCGGATTCTGAGCCTACAATCAACCTCCATTATTGGTCCCTCTTAATTTATGCCCACTTTCATTTTCCTGGTGCTAATTACATTTTTGAAAAGCGTCTTCGTATCTTCTTCACTTCCTGTATTAACTTATTCTTTTATTGCCTTATATTCTTTGAATGGAATTTTGTTGTTAGTAGTAACTGCTGCATATGAAGGAATGGTGCGGGGTGTCGAGATTAGATTAAGTAAGAGGTGTCCAAATATTAGATTCAAACTGTCTATTCTTCGGAAGATACTTTCTTTGACTGTACCCTTCGGAACGGATTTGGAATAAAGAAAGGGGAGGGTGAGGATCTGGTTCTGAAGTATTCACTGTGGCCATTGGAGATGTTTCTCGTAGGGTGCGATGAGTTCTTAGTTTTGCTGGTGAACTATGAGGGGTAGAGCCGTCTGAAGAGCCGATTCCTCTTAGAGGGTACCTTACTGGACATCGCGGTGATAATACCACATATCATAAGAGAAGAAAAATAAAACGGAAAATAAAAATAAATAATAAAAAAAAAGATAATATCAAACAGTAAATATCAACTGCTCTGATGTACAAGTGGACTGTATTCAGTGAATAATCAGAGAGATTCCGCTGAAAAATAAGTAAATACTGAGAGACGAGTTGAGAACACAACCTCCTTTCGCATCAGCTGATCATAAGCTCCTTCTCCTACTACCTTCAAATTATCTTTTATTTTTTTTTATACATTATCTCGTCTCCATAACATGCCATTTTATGGGTAATTTACGGTATCCACGCAAATTATTCATAATGGATTACTCTATAGTATTTCTAAGATTTCTTTTTTGTTTGTGTGTGTGTATGCGATCAAACAATTCATCCATCAATTTTTTCATTCCATGTAACATTCAATTTTTTCCGAGTCAAATTCAACCTTTACCATTCCAAAATAAACGTTTTCCTTTTCAAATTCAACCTTTTTTTATTTATTTAATTATTTTAGGGTTTTTCGATGTATGGGTCAGTTATCGTATGTTTAGTTTATGAGAATAATCTCCATTTTAAGATTAAGTCACTGCATTTCGGTTTATTTAAGTTTGTTGGAGTTATCCTTTGAATTAAAAAAAATATATGAAGGATTAATTTATTTTTCAGAAGAAAAGTAAAGTATTTATTTTCTCATTTTTAAATCTAATTTTAGTTATCTTTTTTAATATTGCTGTATCCTCTTACAGAATGATACAAAATCTGTAAATGGTAAGTTAAATTTATTACAACTTGCTTTTACACCTTTTTACTTAAGTATTTTGTGGTTAATTTAACCTTGACTTCATAATATTTATTTATTCATGCTTGAAATATATTAATAAAACTTTGTATTGAAAAAATTAAAAAAAAAAGCTTAGTTAATCGAGATTTAGCGGCGTAATCTTAAAGTGGAGGTCATTCTCAATATCTACGTATTCGATAACATATAAGTAAACCCTTAAATCGAATGAATCCAAAAAACTTAAATAAGTTGAAACGTAGTGGCGTAATCTTAAAATGGAAGTCATTTTCAAAATCTACGGCCCCGGAAACTTAGGAATAGACCCTTAAATCGAATGAATTCGAAAAACTTAAATAAGTCGAAACGCAGTGGTGTAATCTTAAAATGGAAGCCATTTTCAAAATCTACGGCCCCGGAAACTTAGGAATAGACCCTTAAATCTAATGAATTCGAAAAACTTAAATAAGTCGAAACGCAGTGGCGTAATCTTAAAATGTAGATTATTTTCAAAACCTAGGGACATGATAACATAATACTAGACCCTTATATCGAATATGTACAATAAATCGATATCCGTAAATGTAACATAAAATCGATAGTATTTTGAAAAACTCTTCTTAGGGGAGTATAATAATAGACCCTCATATAGGAAAATTAAAAAAAAAGCCTTTATTTCGAAAAAAAGTAAAAAATTCATAACATTAATTTGAAACAGTGAAGGTTGAATATAAATTTGAAAAGCTTAAATTTGAAATGAAAAAGGTAGAATTTGACTTGGAAAATGTTTAATTTGATTTAGAGAAGGACTTGACGTTATTTTTACTTTAATTTAATTCTCTTTAGATTGTATATAAATTAATATCTTCAAAGTAAATTGTTTCACTTTTTTTATCAAAGCTAAATAATTAAACAATCAAATTATATTTTAATTTTTAAATTATAATGCATATATAGCTATATACAGCATTACCTTCTTCCAATATTGCCTGTAAGCACAGATATCATATTATTCTCCTTAATTGAAATAATGTCCTAACATGAGCTTCAAGAAAAAAAAATTACAGTGGAACAAATTTACTCCCTCAAATATTTTTATTAAATAGTTCCATAATATATTTTACTGACTAATTAAACTTTGCGAACAGTGTGTCCAACATCTATTCCATAATCACACTGTGACATGTTTATAATTCTCGCAAAATGATGAAGAATATGCAATTAAAACTATTAAGTTTATAGCACTCAATGTAAAATCTCGTCACCTTAACATACCATTTTATACGTAACTCACAGTACCTACGTAAATTAATTTATTACTCAACAGTTTTTGTGTGTGTGTGTGTGTGTGTGATCACATAATTTATATTATTTTCTATTAAAAATAGTGCGATAATAACAAAATTTGCACTAATGAATATAGAGCTATTCATCCTTTTCTACAATTCAATAAGTTAAGTTATATATACATGGAACCAACCTAAGGAATAATTTTGTTACATGTACAATTCCAATCCCTTCTATGATGTTGAAAAAAAAAAGTCAATCGAAATAATAATAAATTAGCATTAATTGTTTATTAATATTAACAATAATTAATGATATTTAAAGTTTGTTTGTTTGTTTCATTGTTTTAAACATCTAAATCATTTTACTTTTTATATTGGGAATATTACATTTTACTTTTTACATTGAGAATATTTTACATTATATACTCCAACTGTTTATCCTAAAGAAAACGGTATTTTTTATATAATTAAATGGAAACACACAAGAACCCTACTGGACGTTTCTGAGAACTGACATTTACATTTTAGCAACGCCTTATGTCATTTTGTTTTTTTTAATGTCTCCTCGTCTTGTATATTATGACATACAACGTCCCAAGCAGCATTGACTTGAACAAATTTATATAGTACTACCTAATAATAATTTCATTTTTTTTTTCAATAATAAGCTTTATATAGGTCTGGGTTTTGTTGATGATTTTTTACTTAAATTCTTACTTTGAATATAGTTTATATGGTATATTAACTTTTAAAATATTTTATTGTTCCCCGCTTTAAAAGGTTGCATTATATGGTCAGTGTCTCCATTTTTTTGTTACATACGGGAAGAAATACTATAATAAAAATGTATTAAAAATAATACAGAAAAAAAACACAGCAAGTTTTATAGCTAAGTAACTGTTATGCCTTTTTTCTCATAATAGTAAAATTTATATTAAAAATTAAATTTAAAAAATAAAATAAGGTATCGATGAAGAGAAGAATAGTTGGGGTGGTCAGTCAAAAAGGAAGGCAAAAAATAAATGATGATATTTATTTTTTACATATGCTGACGTTTCGACCTGAAGTTCAGGCCTTCATCAGGGCTAAGAAAATAACCAGATAACAAGGTATGAGAAACATAAGTAGTGATGGTAAAAAAAAAAAATATTAAAAAATTAAAAAATAAAATAAATAAATATAAAGTAAAATGAAATTGTTAGAATAATGACTAAGAACTAAGAGATAAATAATAATAACCGTTACAGAGTGTGGAATGATGAAGTAGGCATAATCAAAAAGGGTGACATAAGTGTTAGAATGGGAATCTTAGAATCAGTCAGGCTATAACCAGGCTATGAACTTGACTTATATTAATCCCTCGATAATGTGTCATGTTTTATTCACAATGATTTAATATTTAATCAAACAGAATAGCGATTCTGGAAATACTTTTAACGTAAGTAAAATCCACTATAAGATATCTAGGTGTATTTATTAAACCTTTAAATACTAAAGAAAGAGCTAGTACATACTTTTATAAAACAATCATTAATACAAACTTACGTCTAAAAAGTGTGCCGAGGGATAAAAGTAGCAGAAGATTTTGCCCCATCTGTATAACCTTTTGTGGCTAGAACTAAAAGTTAGCTGTCACGGGCAAAGCATTATCAAAATCACGCCCAGCGTTTGGTTTTCATCAAATCGATATGTACATATGGTATCATTTTAACAAATATCTGTCATTAAGGTCCCACGTATTGATAGTTGTTGTTATTTAGGGCTTAAAGGCGTAAAACCCTGAGATATATTGATAGTAAACTAAAACTATTTATACCGAAAGTGATGTAATTGTGCGTTTTTTTTTTAGATTCACCTAAAAGTATCATAATAGTCTGAAAGTCATACCTCAGCTTCGTCAGTACAAATAAAAAAATTATTTATTAGAAAAAAAATTAGAAGTTACTATTATATTATTCACAGATTTGATCTCGGCAGAATAATATATAAAAAAACTCATATGGTGTTATCCTATTTTGATTTGTTTACATTTTGTTTGCTAAATTAGAAATAAACGAAGTTCCACAGATAAAGAATATAATATATATATTATGCATACCGAAATACATAAGTATTTCGGTTATTATAGTTTAATTTTAATGAATGTTCGAAAATACCACCATTAAAGGTTATTAAGTTGGCGTTTCACTTTAGAGAATCGCCTAATAGGAGACTACTATTCAGATTTTTTATAATCTGAATTAGAAAGGCCATTGCAGGATTTTCTTCTAAACATCAGAATACGAATGCAGTTTCAACATGACATAGCTTCAGCCCATTTCGTTTGTCAAGTGAGGCGGATCCACGGGGAGGAAAGGGGGCTTTTTCTCAAAGAAACCTCATCTTAATTAATACAGACTTAAAGCTTATTAAACAAAGAAGTTTTCCTAAAAATGAAATATCTGTAGTATAATTGCATGATGATAAATTATGGTTTTTTTTTAAACAGAACTTAGCTTAGTTTAGTCGCCTAAAAGTTAAAACCTTTTTAGATGGTTTTAACAATGACAAACATTATTTCCATTTAAAAAAACAAATTTTGTATAGTTTACATTGAAGCAATTTTTCATTACTTAATTTTTATTTAATTTTTTTTTTTTTTATTGAAATTTACAACTGTATTACATGGAAAATACAATAAGTAAATGTGATATTTGTAACATGACATGTACAACATGAAGAGAAACTACGCATTGGTAGAACTCAAATTAAAGTTCTATATTAGAGGGTCCCGAGGCCATCTTCTTATTATCAAGGATCGAGGAGGAAGCAAGGTTTGAAACGAGAGGATTCGGATGGTTCTGCAGTTTGTTATGGAAGGATAGGTATCTGGATTGGGCCAAATCGGAAACATATGGAACATTAAGGTCTTTATGGATGATTTTATTTGTGACAATGTAAGGAGCGTTGAGGATTTTACGAAGGATTTTGGATTGTAAGGATTGGATACGAGAGGAATTCGATGGTTTAGTGGAGCCCCAAAGCTCAATTCCGTAAGTCCAAATAGGTCTTATTATTGTCATATATATGAGTCATTTGTAATTGATTGAAAGCTTAGAGCGCTTGTCTAATAAGTGCTGCAGTAGTCGAAAACTTCGGGCGGTTTCTAGTCGTTTCAGTCTGGTATGGGGGTTCGATTACTTAAATTAAATATTTCTTTAGTTATTTATTATCTCTTCCTATTTAAAAAAAAAACACGACTTACTTAAAAAAAACCCACAAAATTTGGGTTTTTTTACTTTTCGGCTGAAAATTAGGCAATTGTTTACACAAACTTTTTTGTATCTCTTGAGGTCTGCTATCATTCCTATAAAAAATTCACTCTAATCAGGTCGATGGCGCATAAACCTCTCCTCATTCTCCCAAAGATATTTTATGTCATTCACCTTCTTAAAAACAGTGCAAGCTTAAGCATAATTTTTAAAATAATAGGTCATAAGCAATATGGTATGTTCTTTCTTTTTCTCTTCTTCCTTGGTTTGAAACTTTTCGTTTCAAAAATTCAAAACCCGTCAAAATGTGCCTCCCTTAAAAATTTTGATGGCGCAATCTGAAACCCCCTTTTGGGCACCTCTGCCTCTACTTACGGGCTACCATGCATAGTCAATGATGAAAATCATAGTTTCAGAAATATAATATATTTACTTGAAGTAGTTGATGAGTGTTTTATAAATAAACTCCCCTTAAGTTTAAACCTTAGTCAACGTCATTTTGTATGTTTACTGACACTTAAGTCAAAAATTCCTTTGTAATGTAGTTTTTTGATGGTTACTATATTCATCAACGCAGAGATGGGCATATTTATATTCAAAAATATAAATACGAATTCCATTTATATTTATGGTACAAATGAATATAAATATGAATATATTCATATTCATAAAAAGTAATATGAATACAGAAGATACGTATTCACGGCTGTAAATATAAATACGGCCGTATTCACGATTGTATAAGTGAATACGGCTGTATTTACACTTGTAAAAGTGAGTACGGCAGTATTCACGTTTACTAAAATGAATACGCTTAAATTTACAGAAGTGAATGAAAATATTTTCACAAAACCTTATTAATGAATACTCTTATTTATTAAAAAAAACGTATTTATTTAATTATTTATTTAAAAAAATATATTTATTATATATATCATTTTATTTTTATAAATAGTATTATATTCTTCTTTTTACAATATGTTTTTTTAATTATGTCACAATGTATTATGTTATGTTAATTACCACATATTCACGATTGTAAATATAAATATGACCGTATTCATGATTGTAACAGTGAATACTGCTGTATTTACACCTGTAAAAGTGAATACGGCAGTATTCACGTTTACTAAAATGAATAGCCTTAAATTTACAGAGGATGAATACTAAATGAATAATAATGAATAAATGAATACTCTTATTTATTTAAAAAAAAAAAAATGTATTTAAAATAAACAAGTAGTGAATCTCCAAATTGTTCCTAATAAATCTCAACGTAATTAATATGGAGTTAAAGCTTATTAAACGAGAAAGTTTTCTTTTAAAGTGGAGTAACTTACTACAGTTGAAGGATGACAAAAAAAATCACAAATAATTTATGACTTTTTTTAAACGGAACTTAGCTATGTTTTTCCACTAAATTGTCCTTTTTAAATACTTTTAACAATGATAAACTCTACTTTCGTTTAAAGTAAATTTTATCTAATTTACTACGTAGCAATGTTATATTACTTTAATCAAATTTTTAAATTATCGCTTCCTACTCAACAAAAAACGTGACTTGCTTAAAAAAAAACAAATTAAATTTCTAATTTTTCTGGCATTTGAAATTGGACAATTTTTTATATGAATTTTTTTGTAGATCATGATGTCTATTATCAACCACTTAAATATTTCCCCCTGTTTGGGACACCCTGTATATTTTATAGAACGAAATTTAATTTTATCACTAGAAGTTTACTAAGTAAAAGCTTTAAACATTTAATGAAATATAAACAATTAATTTAATTAATCGAAATATGCAGGATGTTTGCCTTAGGAGCCTAAATATGCACAAAAATCAAATTTTGGACAACCGTGAATGAAAATTTGCCAAAAGATTTAGAGTGACTTATTTCATAAAGATATAGACTCATGTTTTTGAAAGAAAAAAAAAATGTGCATTCGCATATAAATTCTTAGTTATTAGTATTTTTATATCAAATATCTCGAATCAGGTGGAAAAAAAAAATTATGTGGTGGTAATAATAGTCCGTGGTACAGACCTCTTTTTTTCAAATTATTATTATCTCCCTAAAACATTAACCCCTAAACATTAAACATTAAACATTAAACCCCTAAAAATCATGAATTGCTTCATTTTATCGTAACCTACAAACCTTTTATCAATGAAAATTCTCAGAAATGGGGCGTTTTCTTAATAACTAAATATATTTAATTAGATACTAAAAACTCATAAATACCCATTTTCTTTCTATTTGAAACATAAGATAATTTGATCGCAAATTCGAAAAAAAAGAGATGGCCAACAAAAATAAAACCTCATTATTTTGACACGCTGGAGTGTGGAGGTCACGCCAAATGGTCCAATATTTTTATAGGCCTTTATTCTCTCATTATTATTATTCTCTATTTTGATCAAATTATCTTATGATTCAAGTGGAAAGCAAATGAATGTTCATGAGTTTTTAGTACCTAATTAAATAGGCAAAGTTTGCCGATTTCCAGATTGAAAACGCCCCAATTCTGAGAATTTTCGTAAATAAAATAATTGTAGGTTACCATGAGATGAAGCGATTCACGAAGTTTTAGATGGATGTTAATAATTTGATAAAAAGGGGTCTGTACCTCGAATAATAAATGTTGGAGTTTGGCTGTACTCCATCTTAGCTTAGTTACGCTACTGAATAGAGATTGTAGAAATAAAACTACTTTTTAATGAAGAGAAAGAACAAATAAATGATTCTAAGTTATAAATTATATATATATATTATTAGTCCACAGGATGGAATAATACAAAGAATATTGGTTCACTCTTTTTTTTTTAATACCTTGAGCAAAAAAAGTTGTCCAAAAAGGCATGTGTTATGATAATTAATCTCTAAGATTCCTTTTATTCTAAATGTGTAAGATAAACACTCATATCAACTTATATACGAAAAACTTAAGTAGATTACGCTACAATATGTATCTGTAGGATTAATGCTTGTATATTAGCACAAGTCATAGCGGTGACCGAACTCTCTCCGTTTCTTTACTAGGAGAAACCACAAACATGGCCAGTCCAAGGGACAGGGATAAAGATTACTGTAATCACCTTAAAAACAGAGTTTATTTATATGTTTATGAAGCTGAAGGAAACTGTGACAACATACCATGGAATAGAGAAAAATCCAGCGAGGTAGGGATGTTAATTTAACAAACTAAATCATCACATATGTACATTCACCCTATTATTTTAAAAATATAAAGTGAATATTACCTCATTACTTTATATAATATAACTTATTAAATGTTCGAGCTATTGATTATTGAAATCCTTTTTAGTTTTGTGTTTTCACGATGTCCCATGATCATTTCTAAAAAATTCCAAGTTTTA